CTTTCCCTTCTTCGTCTGCTTCTGCTTCCTCAGGCGACGCCGTCGTGAACTCGTCTCTGTATCCTCCGTCTCCGTCTCCGTCGCCGTCGGATCTCCGGTGGTCTCGCAAACTGGGCTTTCCGGCGAATCGACAGTGGAGGATGTTGGTAAAAGGGTTCTGCCTTTGAGATTCGGTCGCTCTTCACCGCCTCGATGGTGGCCTTACGCTTGTCAGTCTCAGAGACCATGCAGGGATTATCCAGGTTTTCGAATGTGCCTAATGTTTCACCATTTGGGTTCCATGGAAAGTTCTCTTTCTTGTTGAAGAGCTTTAGCTTTGTGGTTTCTGAGACGTATTTGAAGACAGAGAATTGTCAAGTTCGAACACACTTTGGATCTGTTTCGGCCTTTAAGTGTCAAAATGAAATCGTAGAGTAACAATGGCTTGGTAGTTTCCTTGATTCCTTATGCTTTTCTTCATTTCTTGTATTGGATGGCACTTGGAAGCTTTTTTTAGGAGCTTTTGCTCAATGGTACTAGACTGGTAAATACTAATTACTGAACCTGAGAGCAATGTGATAGAAGAAAAAGTCTGAATCTTTCTCTGGCAGGGACATTGGAATAGTGCTGCTAGTTCATGTTTCATAGTTTTTGGAATCGCCAGCAGGGGGAAACTATACATGTAGCAATCCGAAATTTAGACATTTACTCAGCTTTATTGGTTATATGTCAGCTTCAATTCGGAATAAACCAGGTGCTCATTGTAGTAGTTTCTTTGGTTGGAATTAACTAATGTACTTCCGAGTTGTATGTGTGGGGAATGTATGCTTCTTTTTTGGTTGAAAATGCCATGGTGAATGACTAGAGGTTTGAGTACTTGGTACTGTTCGATCTAGGCTAGGGCCGCAGGCCGCTAGGCCAAATGAGTTGGTCAAAACAATGAAATGAAAAGCAGATTCATTGAAGTCTTGGATGATGGTAAAATGATGATTATTACTTGTTTCTCTTCTACTTTTTCGTTTGATTCTTTGCGTTCAGCTCTTATCCGATCTAAGCTTGTCATCTGGGTGAGGTTGAGGGAATTCAACCATTAGCAGATAAAGCAGATTTTTTGAGACAATATCGAGCAAAACAGGGCGATCTTATATTAATAAAACTCCAGACATCTTTGTAGCTCATGATATGGATTTGATTGGCCATGTAAGTTTCATTCTAGCTTCTGTTATATCTCTTACACGGTCCATGGGTGGCTTGAGGTACATCATTTGTTCTCCCTCTTTGTGTGAATTACATCATTTTGATTTCTTGCACGAGAAGTTACGATTTATTACATGGTTATGGATACCATGTTCTGATTGGTTGTTCTCATCTGGTTTTCTACACTTTTGTTCTTGCTGTGACAGAATTGGTGGAGGAAGTTTGAGTATTTATAAGAGAGAGGTCCAAGAAAAGGCCTTGGAGATCATTGGAATTTCACCAGGAGATGTCAGAAACGGTGTTCCGGCTGGAAATTACAGAGAAATTACCGATTTTGTATTTGATTGGTTAAGGATGTTAAACCATTATTAATAACTGTTCAGATCTTCTGGAACCAGAAGATGCTGATAACATGGTATTCAATTTCAATTCAACAACTGGGTGTTGGTATCTGACGTATTATTGTTCAGATATTTGTGAAGAAGATCTACAATGATATCATATCAAAAGATGAAATAAAAAAACGAACATATTCTTGATTCACCCGAGAATTCAATGCTTCCCGGTTTCTCTTTTTTACTCGAATGCATGAACAAAGACTAAACGATCTGATATCTGCTGAGACAGATTCATTCAGCTTCTTCTTTGATATCTATCTTCCCCGGATTCTGCAGCTAGTTGGTGATTAGTGATGGCTATTTCGGTTCGGTTAAGCAGAACCGGACATTCCTGAAAATTGGTAAAAACATAAGCATCTGATGACTTGGACAACATAGGCGTTGTTGTAAACATGAGGAAGGACAGAAGAAAACACAGCAGCAACACAACTATATATTGAATGACAAGTCAGTATTTGTATATATACCTAATACATTTGATAATCTATACTCGTGAAATCACAGAATAATGTTCTCGATCTCTGAAAAGGGACCAAACTGCGGAATCGGAGGTGGAGTTTGTGTCGGAAACTGAGGCTGTTGATTGAAATCGTTGTTGAACATCAGATTGTTGTTTCCGTACACGCTGCCATTCATGTATCCTTGCGGCACAAGAAAGCCAGAGTTCATCCGTTCCGTATTCATTTCTGGAAACCCTAGATTGCAAGGCCAGCCATTGCCCGTGAGATTTTGCTGCATCGTCATCATCATCGGTGACGGAACCATATCTCGGTTGAAATCTGGGTTGCAGTAGTTGTATTGCAGAGAATTGTTGTCTGAAAACATCGCTCCCACACTCTGTTCCTCCATACCAGAATCCGACAAGTTAGGGTTTAGCAAGTGGGTTTGTCCAAGAATGGGTTGCCAAGAACTAGTGACTTGGGTATTATCATCAATCTTCTTAGCCGCAGCCTTTTGTTTTCTCGATTCAAGAGCCCTAATTCTCTGTTTCAAACACTGCAACTCTCTGTCTATGAAACCGTCCAGCTCCGAAAAATGATCAGAAGAAAACCCATCAGTCCCAGTCGCCAAATCCATGGAATCACAACCATTCATGTCGTGGTTGTTGCTGTTCATGTATCCAGAGTTCGTCCATTCCATATTCAATCCTGGAAACCCTAAACTGCCAGGCCAGCCATTGCCCATGAGATTTTGATGCGTCATCATCATCTGTGGGGGAACTATGTCGGGGTTAAAATCTGAATTGAAGTACAAGTGTTGCAGAGAATTGCTGTCTGAAAACGCATTCCCACCCAACATCGCTGCTAAGCTCTGTTCCTCCATACCAGAATCCGAAAAGTTAGGGTCTACGGAATGGGTTTGTCCAAGAATCGGTTCGCAAGAAGTAGTGATCTGGTGATTATCGATAATCTTCTCAGCGGCAGCCTTTTGTTTTTCAGATTCAGGAGCCGTAAGTCTCTGTTTCAAAGACCGTAACTTTCTGTCCAAGGAACCGTGGAGCTCCGACAACTGATCAGAAGAAAGCCCATCAACCCTCGTGGCCAAATCCGAGGAATCGCGACAGTTCTTGCCGTGATTGTTCTTAATCTTGTCCATAAAGAAGGAAAGATTCAGGCTTTTCTTGCGTCGATCCTTCTGGTCGAGTGATCTGTACATGGAGGCAATGCCCTTGGCCATGTCGGCGTCTTTGGGAAATGTCTGAAGAGATCCGTCGGGGCCATAACAGATGACGCAGACGTCGACCCCGCAGAGAGTGGAGAGCTCTTGGGCTTTCTTAATCAGAGTAGATCGTCTTCTCGAGAATGCCGAATTTTCGTCGGAGGGTTTCTTGGAGGAAGAAGAGGGTTTCTTGGAGGAGGAAGAAGAAGAAGAAGGCATCGTCTTGTTGTTTTGAATTTGCCTCTACGGGTGGAGTGAGCGAGTGAGTGATATATATATATATATATATATATATATATATATATGTTATAGACGTTGGGATCTTTTAATGAACGATCTCTCCCGGATTTCATTTTCCATTTCTCCTTCTTGTTTAACTCTGATTTTTACATTTTTTTAAATTCCCTTGTTAACTTTTTTATGTAAAAGATTAAAATTTTCCATTTCTCTTTTTTCAATTCAAATTGTACCATAACTCATATATATATATATATATATATATATATATTATGAAAGAAATTTAATTATATTATAATCATCAGATATATTATGATTATTATTATTATTAATAAACACGTCTGATAAAAAAACTAGGAAAGACTTGAATTTTTTCTTCGTATTTATATTAAAAATATTATTTGCATCTCCTGATCATTTTGTGGTTTGTATTAACAACTGGTCACAAAACTTTATGGATTTTGTTTTTAAAATGTAATGCGACAAACCTTCCATTAATTGATGATTATACATAGATATAAATTCTGACAACAATTCACTCTTCTAACTAATAGAAAATGATTAGATCAAGGTCTATAATAAATGCATTGGGTGGTTCAGATTTGTGTTTTGGATAGCTTTCCATGTTTATGTTTGGATTTTTTAAAAATAAAGTTATTTAGGTCTTATAAAATGGGTTTAATGCTTTTAATCATATGAGATTATATGGTTAATTGAATTAAATATAACAACTTTGGTTCAGATAGTTGATTTCTAAGTGAAACATTAAACACTAAATTCAATTTCAGCTCTTAATATGTGCAAATGCTACAGTGCAGAGAGAGAAGAATGGATCCAATCCTTTTGGTTGTATTGGGAGTTTATCTCCATTCTACTACTCATTTTAAGACCGTGTATTTCCCCATAAATTTTTATTTTCATTTTTAATTTTTAATTTTTAATTTATTTTTATTTTTGTTTAAATTTTAAATTTTATTAATGTTTAATGACATGATATAATGATTTGAAACAATTGGATGATTTGATTATGTCAACAATGAAATTAACTGAACTTAACATCGTTTATGAGTATATATGAGTATATGAGAAATTATTATAACATATTTTCACATTGTAGAATTTTGGAAATTTTAAAAATTTAGTGTAAATTTTTATTAAATTAAAATTGGTGTAAGAAATGGGAACATAAAATCATTAACCAAAATTTATAGGGAATACGGAATTTTCCTTTTATAAAATCCTATGTTTTTTATTGATTATTATTGCACACAAAAAAAAAAATTTGACATTGCAATCTCTAACGAAATTTGTTGAGTCATGTCACGTGATTGATCTCTGACCAACTCGACAGGAAAAAAATATATAAAATAAAAGATTAAAAATGTTGCATCAAAAACCAAGTTTTCAACATTAACCTATGAAATAAAAAACGTGGATGACTAATAATATATGTATTATTAAAAATGCATGTAGTTTTATTTTCTAATACAAATTTGAATAATAGTTGATATTATATTAGAATTAATTAGCATATAACTAATAATATATGTATATATATATCACGCAATTATTTTTAATTACTTAAACTAATTAATATATATTAATAAAAAATAATATTATCTTATATTTATAATCCAATAAATAATTAAAACTATTGTTTTTATGTCTCATCATATTATTAATGACCTGATAATTTATTTTATATTTATGTTTTGTAGTACGCGGGTATTTTTGTACATACAATAAATATTTTGGATGATTGCTAATGATTTTAGATGAAGTTATTTTTGTGAAATCACTGATCAAACAGTTTATCCAATTTGTTCGTTTAAGTTGATTTGTCATGTTGTAATTTATTTACGTGGTCTTTTATTTTGGTCAATAAATAAATTAGCGACTTAGTCATCCACGTTTCTTACAAAACATGAATCTGCAAACATTAACTATTTATCCAACCAACTAACCATAACTGTTTTTTTTTATCTATTTGTTTGGTCCACATTATTTTATTTTTTGGTTTTAAAACAATACCTAAACATGCTAGCGACGTAAAAGAAAAATATCTTGTTACTTTATATTATACATCTGTTTGTGCATATAAAATTGCGGAACTGAACCATCGGTTGTAGAAGTTAATATTAGAAAACATTCGTAATTAATAATGTCGACATATATAAGATTTGACTCGAACAAACAAATTTCAAGAATGGTGATAGTTTTTGGTTTTTTGTTTTTCGTAGTTTTTAATTTAAAGAAAATATGATTATGGTTTTTACTTGATTTTTTCAATAAAATGGTTTTCCGGATTTTTAGGAAAAAAACAAATATGCAAGATTTTGATTGGATTTTATTTTAGTTTTTGAATTCCGAAATTCATGAAAAATCTAGCCATTCAACCCCAAAATTGATAAGAATTTACAATTCGGTTTTAGATTGAACACGAACTAGGATGGAAATATTTCCTGTTGTTGGGAAAGAAATGATTCAGCAGAGTCTACATGAACGGTGGAAATCGATTTCTTTGAGCAATTTATAGTATATATATGATATAGTCTCGACGTGTTACGTTACCGTACCGATCGATCATAATATATATATGTAAAATATCTAACATTTGGCATTCATAATTTTATTTCTTTAAACTTTTAATGAGATAGAGAATATAGATTGACCGACTTGGATGAATTGGTAAACTATATGGCTCTTGGAAACTTTCTGTCCAATGGAAACGGTAAAAGTATTTAAGAATACATTAATATAATGTGATTAAACTTATATATAGCAAGTGTTTGTGTACACTTGCCTATAGATAAACCCTAATACATTACTATATATACACCTTCTCTCCAACCCTTCCTTCTCACTCCAAAAAAAAGCTTAAACACTAAAAAGAAAACACAATTTAATAAAAAAAAAAATGAAAACCCTAATCTTGGCAGTTGCCCTGGTCCTATCCCTTATGACTGCAGTGAATGGCCAAGACCGACCACAAGACTACGTGGGCGCTCACAACAGGGCTCGATCCGCTGTTGGGGTGGGGCCTATTCAGTGGGACGAGAGGGTAGCCGACTACGCACGTGACTATGCGAACAGGCGGAGAGGCGATTGCCGTCTGATCCACTCGGGTGGGCCCTACGGAGAAAACCTAGCATGGAGCAGCCGCGACCTGTCAGGCGTGGCGGCTGTTCAGCTTTGGGTGAACGAGAAGGACGATTACCATTACCGTACGAACACGTGTAGGGCCGGGAAACAATGCGGACACTACACTCAGGTTGTCTGGAAGAAGTCGGTGAAGTTGGGTTGTGCCAAGGTGAAGTGCAACAATGGCGGAACATTCATCATTTGCAACTATGATCCTCCCGGCAACGTTAGAGGCCAGTGGCCCTACTAAACAAACACTGTATATACACGTATAAATACACACACATATACCATATGTGTATATATTTGAATAAAAATCATCTATCTAGCTAGCTAGTGATGATTAGCTCGTCTGTTTCTAATTTATTTATGGTTATGTATTGTTGTATTGTATATCTTGTGATTGAATAATGCATGCACTGCGGTTGTGTAGGTGCATGTCCATACGAGTTACACCATGAACTTGTATGTATATATGTTGTAATTTTCTTCTAAATAAAAGTATAATATGGACCTTTGTCCTAAAGAATCTCGAATCATATATATGTACAAAAAAACTGCATGACAGAATGATATATATATATATATATATATATATGTATGCATATAGCTCCATTCTTTTCCTTGCTATTCGTATTAATTGTTAATTAATTGTTTGCATATGGGATACAACTCACTCACACTCTAAACCAAATAAAACCGATCTAAACCATTTTTACTCTCTAATGCCAAACTGAAAATATTCGGCTAAATACTCGCCCACTAGAAAACAATAACCGAAAACCCAACGTGGGAATAGAGTCGAGAGAGAAAACCAAAAGTAAACCGAATAATCAAATCAGTATACTAAACTCTTAACCGGTTGTACTGATACCGGAGATTAAATTTTGTATTGAATCCGTTGATTCCAGTATAAATAATGAAAAATAAGAGTAACCTAAAGAAACTTCTCAACCAATATTTTCAACGAATGAAAAAAATTGTGTAGATCCAAAATACTAATACTACGTGTGTGAAACCCTAATTCGAGAATTCTAACGCAATATAAAGAAAGAATATAACAATTTATAATAAAGCATCCAAATCTATTCCTCTGTAAAAATCCGTGTCATTTAAATGCATATATACAAATTCGGGTTGTCTCATTTTGTAAGGTGTTACAAACCCAAGCAAATTCATATTTTTAACCTACTTAAAATTTTTATAATTCAAATTCTTATTACTTAACATCATTAAATAAAATAACAATTTATGGTTCTTTGACTCTTTCACCGAGTGGACATGGTAAAAGGACTAATAATACAAAACTTACAAGTGTTCATTTCTGACAAGAAGATTTTACAAGTTTTGTCACAAATTTGCCCCATTATAGGTCGTTATATAATGACCCCTCTCGTCTGTATAAAGAAAACTGCGATGTCTAGTTACAAATTTACCCTATTATAAAATCAGTAACTACCTAATGGTGTGTATATATATATATATATATATATATATATAATATGCACGCCCAAGAGGTCATCGCCGGTGTAGCTAGTTGAGAAGGTTTGGGTGTCAATTTTGGTCTGAAATCTTAAGTACGATCTGACCTTAAAAATGTTGGGTTTCGGGCCGAGATATTTAGGCTCGAAAATTTTTAGACTTTTGGACCACCTTCAAATTGGTCCCAATGCCCGAATTATTTTTAAAAAATAAAAAATAAATAAATTTTAAGGAACAAATTTAGCGGGTTTGGCTGTTCCGAAATCTATAGGGACGGACTTCAGATTTGGTGATTTAGATCCGAAAAAATTAGGGTCGACCCAAGCTTGAGCTCGAAACCCACGGATCAATTGCGAGCTAGGGTTAGATCGGGACGACCCGACCCAACTGGCTTCTCTAGGGTGTTTTTGTCCCAAATTCTATGTTCGAGCCGCGGGTTGGGATGAAGATCTGCATTTGCAGTACACAGGCTATCTTCGGAACCTAGTGAGATATAATCGGAACGAAGACATGAGAACTTTCAGAGTTATCAATATTACATATATATATATATATATATATATATAAGATGACAATTAGGTTTCTAATTTTCAAATTAAATACTTTTCTTAAACGAAATCAAAAGATATTTCATAACACAAGTATATTTTGCTAAGTCGGTACATTTGACACGGCTCGGCTTGCTTTGCGGTAAGCATAACTGTCTAAGCAAAGAACAACCATTCGGAAACAAAATATACTTAAACAAACTCACATTATTGTAAAAGAAGAACAGTTATCAAACTGAGTATTTGATATAAATCAATAATTGGGTAGAGAACATTCTTTGGGAAGATTATCGTGGAACCTTTGATGATCTTGGCAATAATCATATATCATATGATATTTCCTCACCCATTTGAACCATCTCTTCTGCAATCTTGTCAAAGAACTGAACTCGTCCTTGTTCCACCAATTCTCCTCTCCCCTTTCTCTACAAAACCTCGGATTTCCTCTCCAGACACAAGCATCGATCTTGTAGTCCCCGAAGGTTGCGAGGAACGGACCCTTTGACCAGTCAACCTTGTCACGGCCTCCACGTGTTGCCCAGCTGTCTCCGTTCCATAGGCTGGCCTTCACGCTCATCGGCTGCCGTCTCGGGAATGCCACTCCCTTGTCCGTGTGGTTTCTGTAAACCCTTATCGGAATTTGATCTACAAAGAATCTAAAACCACCAAATACATTGTTCCATAATTAGCTATGCTTTTTGATTAAGAGTGCACCTAAAAGAGAGTATTATCATATTGCAGCTATAAGGAAAAAGGCATAGTTCATTAGAAGAACTTACACAATTTGGTGAATGTTCCATAAAATAGAGTAAGTGTGAAAATCCTTGGTCGGGTCGAACCAGAGATAGATCCTCTCTTCACGGTTGTCAGATCCATCCGCGTAAATGTTTGTCTGAAGAATGTATGGCTGCCCACTTACGTTTCCGAGGAACTCAAAATCAATTTCATCCCGGTTAGGCTGGTCCGACGATATCTGAATTTCGAAGAATAAGATCAATCGTATGTGCATGCTATCATCAGCCCTTTTACTAAAAGGGGGGGGGGGGCAAAGAGAAATCGGTGTTTCTTACATAATATGCAACCACGGTTCCAGCAGAATCTCCTGGTATCAGTTTGATCTTCATGTCTATTTGCCCGAACAAGAACATCTGGTTGGAAGCAAAGGAAGCTCCTACATGCATGTATTAAATGGAAAGAAGTTTCAATGGTTAAGGCACTCGAGGATAAAAAACCGAAAAAACGAAGAGATCAATAATGAGAATACATGTGTGTACCAGATTCTTGATCAAGCTTAAGGGTTCTTGATCGGCCATAATTGGAAGTGTTTACGTGACTGGGAGACCATGTCACGAAGAAATCTTTGTCGAAATCGCCGGTGGAAACGACGGAGGATAGCGACATCGGGAGCAAATTCGCGACGAGAAATCCGATAATCGCAAGCAAGTGCAAGCAGTTTAGAGCCATGGATTAATCTCAGACTGAAAAAAAAATGCGTGATAAAGTGGGTATATATATATGTGTATATATATAGGCGCATGAGAATGGTGACAGCTTAGAAGAAAGGTTACGTTCATGAAACAGAATATCATTGATGAGAAGCAAAGAAGGCATACAATTATAGATGTTGCCCGTTGGTAGCTTCATTCACAAACTTAGGCTTAATTAATGGTTTCTTAGAGCCTTTTAATACTATGAAGTAGGTCAAACATTCTGCATTTATGAATCATAATAACGGCGTAGGCTTTTTCTGAGAAAATTATTTGTTTTTATTACCTCAAAGAGAATAAAGAGAACCCTAAATTCCGAATATTATTTCTTTTCTATTGTTTTACTTTATATATATATATATATATATATATATATATGTAAGTATATATATTCCTTTTCCGTTGACACTATTGAAGAGGTTTCTTCCTGTTTACCAATTTAAGATTTGTTCTTTTTCTTTGCATGGGGGGATACCTTACTTCCATGTCTTGGTTTAAAACTCGAACAAGGAGTGCTACAAAAACGATTTTTAATTAGAAATTTTATTCCATTTTCATTTGAAACGAAATGGATTTTAGTGTCCGATATCAAATTATATATATAACATTTTTGTTGAAATGACCGATATCAAATTGTTATATATATATATATATATTATATTTGATAAAAAATGATGAAATCTGAATAATTTTAAAAAATTAATAGTTATATGGATACATAATACTATAGAAAAAAAAACAGAAACAGAGAGATGATACAACTAATTTAATGAGATTCAATTCAATTTATAATTTAGACTATTTCTTAATTTTTGGGTCAATAATTTATTTTTGGTAGCTTTTATTTAAGACTGAGATTTATAATTTATTATTGGGTCAATAATTCAAGAGTGAGTAGTAAGGGATAAAACAAATTTTATTTTTAACTTAAATTCGAGTCTCCATTTGGAGAGATATTCATATGAACTTTCTCATTCTTCTAGAAGATCGTAATTTGATCAAAAATTCGTTGAATTTTTGGATTATAAAAAATTAAAATAAAATACGATTAAAAGAAATCAACTAACCGTTACCTCTGTGTACTTAAAGAAGAATTAAAAGGAAACCAACAAGAAACAAAATTTAGAGAATTATTTCTACGCGAAAGTGTTAGTTCTTAGAAATTAATTTTGGTACGGAATTAAAAAAACAAATGATAAAATATACAGTGTATAATTAGAGTAATTTATATTGGTTTAAAATCATATTTAATTATTGTTTGATCTGCTTTTGTTTGGTTCTATCTTTTTATCTACTTTTTTTTGTAGAATAATAATTGATTTTATAAATTAGTGAATATGTATATATCTATGTATTTGTGTAACAGAGAATTTATACAAACAAAACATTGAATAAAATATTACATGTCGCAAAAAAATTGCAGAATTTATATTCTCCAAGATAACGATTGTGCCCGAGGATATATATATATGGTTCGGAACTAAAAACAAAATTCAAATATCGTTCCATTTTTTAAAATCATTTCCTTTTTTTTTCCTCAAAATATCTCCTTCCTTATATTTCCAAAATTTTAAAAGTACTTTAAATAACATAAAATACCTAAAGAAATTCCAACTTGCAAAAATATATACAAATAAACATTTAACTTGAAAAATCATCATTTAATCCTCAAAGTTGTAACTTGAAACATCGAACATGCAAATTGTTACTCTAATAAATCTTTGACCGGTTTGACCATAATATCAGACGATCAGAAATCTACATATTCACGGATTATTGTGACAGCTTATACACATCAATAATTTTAATTTAAAAAATGACACATCAGTTTAAATCAGCAATCCGTCAATACGTGGATTTTCGATACTTGAAATTATGGTCAAACCAGTCAAAGATTTATTAGAATAACAATTTGCATATTCGAGATTTTATTCAATAACATGTTACAAGTTTGAGGATTGAATGATAATTTTTCAAATTGAAGATTTATTTGTATATATTTTGCAAGTTTCAAGTTTTTTAAGAGTTTTAACCTTTAAATGTTTTTAAGATTTGATGTAGGTGCAACTAATACAAGTCAACCTTATATCCAATTACATATATCTATATATATATATATATAAGTTGGGTTTGTTGGTATTTGGACCGGGTTCGGAATAGAAATGGCTCGGTTCGATTCTTTCAATTTTATAAAAATAGATACCAATCGACTATTTTATTATATTCAGTTCGGTTAAATTTCGATTTTTATTAAAAAATTAAATCTTTTTAAAAAGATTCGATTTTTTTGAATTTTTAAAAAATTCAATTTGATTCGGTTAGATTATAAAAAAATCAATTTTTTATAATTAATACCATTCAAAAATTTTAAACGGTTTAAATTGAAAAAAAATACCGTATTATTTAATTCGGTACTATATATATATATATATATATCAATACTAATGGAAAATAGAAAGCAATTTTTTTTTTGGAAGACAGATACACCAAACACCACCATACACGAGACAGTCAATTTATAGTCACATAGCTTCACCCTCTTTGCTTTGGCTGGGTCTAACACTGTTTTGTCCTCCACGCACTTTTTCTTCAAAGTTTCGTACTTTTGAACCTTTTTTTTTTTTTTTCAAAACTCAACGATTCGACAGCGTCTCCTTCTCCTCCAGGTACTTTCTCAAAACATCTTTCACTCTCATCTTTCGGACGAAAACTCTTCAGTTGCCCTTTGTTCGATTCTTGCCAGTTTCAAGCTCGTGTCCCTGCATGTTCTTTTGTGGGCTTTCTGTTTTTGTCTGATTGTGAAGATTTTAGTGTTTGCATGAAATGGGTTCTTGATTGTGACTCTTTGGGCGATGATCTATGTCCATTCGAGTTCAAACTTTGGTGGGTTTCTGTTTTGAATTCCTCTCCTTCGTCTTCTTCGCTGTTTATTGACCTTGTGGCTGGATTTTCTAGGGTTTTAAGTTCTTAGTTGGGGTTTTGCAGATTGGGGTTCTGGGTGTGGATTTTTGTCTTGTTTGGTTAGAATCTCTCATCCTTACACTGAATATCAGTGTCGATTGACGTGAAATGTTACAGTGAATAGTCTAATTTGATTTGGTTGTGAAGTGTTTGCTCTAAGTTTTGCCAGATGCCGATGTCGGAACAAGCTCACCCGTTCTGTTGTATTGTCTTCTAATTTCCACAGGGAAGCAAAATATTGTCTCCCTTTAGATTTAGTGTCTGATTTGTGAATTCAGAGGATTTTGTGGTGAGGATGATGATGAAGAAGACATCGAGCAGGAACCAAAGGGCAAACAAGGGCATTAAGTGGAAGCTTGTCCTGCAGATATGCGTTCTGGCCGGAGTTTGTGTCTGGTTGATCTATCAAGTTAAGTATTCGCACGACAAGAAGAGGGAATTCTACGAGAAGGACGAGGGAGCATCGACGGAAAACGGGGTTGTGAAGCTCGGAAGGAAAGACATTCCCCATTTACGGGATGTGAACGGGAACGAACAGGTTGTGGAGGACGAGGATGAAGACATTACGGGCGAAGAAGAAATCAGCCATGGAGGAGAGAAGGAGATGAAGAGTGAAGTGGTGAATGACCATCCCGATGATGAAGAAGAAGGAGAAGAAGAAGAAATAGTTGAGGAGGAAGAAGAAAAGAATAAGCAAGGAGAGGAAAACGACAATGAAGAGGAGGAGAACAAACAAATGGGTGATGATGATGATGATGCAGAAGATGACATTGATGAACATGATGAGGGAAAACCCAGGGAAACTGATCGAGAGGACGAGATTCTGGAAGAAGAGAAAGAGAGGGAAGGGGAAAACAGTGAGGAAGGGAGTGAATCGAACAGGAGAGATGAGGAAGAAGGGAGGAAAGATGGGGATGGTAATATTTCAGATGAAACTGATACGACGGTCCACGGGGCACGGGAGGAGCATTATAAGGCCGATGATGCTTCAAGTGCAGTGTCCCACGAATCCCACACCGAGAAAGGAAGTTCCGGGAATTCTGATACAAACGTTGTGAGAGATGCCATCGAGCTAAACCGTGACTCCAACAACACTGAAATGATCGGTTTGGCAGAAGGTAAAGGTGAATCGTTCGGGTCTGACACGAGAAGGGAAGCAGATAATAGCAACTCAACGGTAACAAGTCTAGAAGGTTCAGGGTTAGTACAGAACAGAACTGAGAGCACGGTGGATCCGAGACAGGAACATAACAAAACAGAATCTGTAGGAACACCCGAGGAAGCATCCAAGCTGCCACGAGATCCTGAGAAAAATGAATTTGATCCGGCCATCTCTGTCTCATCAAACACCACGAAGGAAGATTCCATCGAAGCTCGATCCTTGAACACAGCCTCGGATTCTGTTGTACTGGAGAAGATCAAACTCACAAACACAACCGAGGCGAAAGAGAATTCAGGGTCTCCGGGCGATGATGATGAATCGGGTAACAAGAAAAGTTCCGACCTTTCTTCCGCAAAAGAAACAGGCGAGAAGGTTGATTCTTCGGGCAATACGATTTCTCGGGAAGAGAAGGAAGCTCTCTCCAACCCGCAGACTTTGCCTGAAATAAGAACAGAAGGGACCGAACACAATGCTGTTGCGGCGGAGTGAGATGGAAAACAACACGGTGAATTCTCTCGGTGTCGGAGTGACTGTTTCTATGGTTTGTTTTTTTCTGTTCAGCTTTGTCACAGCTTTTGTCTCAGTAGCTAAGACTTTGTAGCTTAGTGTTCCAAACTGTATATCTTCTTCTTCTTCTTCTTTCTCTCTCTCTCTCTCTCTATATATATATATATAGCGGCGGCTAATCCCTCCCTATATGTCAATCTTATCAAATTGTGTGTGTGTGTGTGCTCGCGCGCGCGCGCGCATTGTATTGTAGCATTAAGACAGCCATTTTGCAGATATTAAGTAGGAACGAAAGCGGTTAAGAACTGAAATTGAATTTAGTGTTTAATGTTTCACTTAGAAATCAACTATCTGAACCAAAGTTGTTATATTTAATTCAATTAACCATATAATCTCATATGATTAAAAGCATTAAACCCATTTTATAAGACCTAAATAACTTTATTTTTAAAAAATCCAAACATAAACATGGAAAGCTATCCAAAACACAAATCTGAACCACCCAACGCATTTATTATAGACCTTGATCTAATAGTTAGAAGAGTGAATTGTTGTCAGAATTTATATCTGTATAATCATCAATTAATGGAAGGTTTGTCGCATTACATTTTAAAAACAAAATCCATAAAGTTTTGTGACCAGTTGTTAATACAAACCACAAAATGATCAGGAGATGCAAATAATATTTTTAATATAAATACGAAGAAAAAATTCAAGTCTTTCCTAGTTTTTTTATCAGACGTGTTTATTAATAATAATAATAATCATAATATATCTGATGATTATAATATAATTAAATTTCTTTCATAATATATATATATATATATATATATATATATGAGTTATGGTACAATTTGAATTGAAAAAAGAGAAATGGAAAATTTTAATCTTTTACATAAAAAAGTTAACAAGGGAATTTAAAAAAATGTAAAAATCAGAGTTAAACAAGAAGGAGAAATGGAAAATGAAATCCGGGAGAGATCGTTCATTAAAAGATCCCAACGTCTATAACATATATATATATATATATATATATATATATATATATCACTCACTCGCTCACTCCACCCGTAGAGGCAAATTCAAAACAACAAGACGATGCCTTCTTCTTCTTCTTCCTCCTCCAAGAAACCCTCTTCTTCCTCCAAGAAACCCTCCGACGAAAATTCGGCATTCTCGAGAAGACGATCTACTCTGATTAAGAAAGCCCAAGAGCTCTCCACTCTCTGCGGGGTCGACGTCTGCGTCATCTGTTATGGCCCCGACGGATCTCTTCAGACATTTCCCAAAGACGCCGACATGGCCAAGGGCATTGCCTCCATGTACAGATCACTCGACCAGAAGGATCGACGCAAGAAAAGCCTGAATCTTTCCTTCTTTATGGACAAGATTAAGAACAATCACGGCAAGAACTGTCGCGATTCCTCGGATTTGGCCACGAGGGTTGATGGGCTTTCTTCTGATCAGTTGTCGGAGCTCCACGGTTCCTTGGACAGAAAGTTACGGTCTTTGAAACAGAGACTTACGGCTCCTGAATCTGAAAAACAAAAGGCTGCCGCTGAGAAGATTATCGATAATCACCAGATCACTACTTCTTGCGAACCGATTCTTGGACAAACCCATTCCGTAGACCCTAACTTTTCGGATTCTGGTATGGAGGAACAGAGCTTAGCAGCGATGTTGGGTGGGAATGCGTTTTCAGACAGCAATTCTCTGCAACACTTGTACTTCAATTCAGATTTTAACCCCGACATAGTTCCCCCACAGATGATGATGACGCATCAAAATCTCATGGGCAATGGCTGGCCTGGCAGTTTAGGGTTTCCAGGATTGAATATGGAATGGACGAACTCTGGATACATGAACAGCAACAACCACGACATGAATGGTTGTGATTCCATGGATTTGGCGACTGGGACTGATGGGTTTTCTTCTGATCATTTTTCGGAGCTGGACGGTTTCATAGACAGAGAGTTGCAGTGTTTGAAACAGAGAATTAGGGCTCTTGAATCGAGAAAACAAAAGGCTGCGGCTAAGAAGATTGATGATAATACCCAAGTCACTAGTTCTTGGCAACCCATTCTTGGACAAACCCACTTGCTAAACCCTAACTTGTCGGATTCTGGTATGGAGGAACAGAGTGTGGGAGCGATGTTTTCAGACAACAATTCTCTGCAATACAACTACTGCAACCCAGATTTCAACCGAGATATGGTTCCGTCACCGATGATGATGACGATGCAGCAAAATCTCACGGGCAATGGCTGGCCTTGCAATCTAGGGTTTCCAGAAATGAATACGGAACGGATGAACTCTGGCTTTCTTGTGCCGCAAGGATACATGAATGGCAGCGTGTACGGAAACAACAATCTGATGTTCAACAACGATTTCAATCAACAGCCTCAGTTTCCGACACAAACTCCACCTCCGATTCCGCAGTTTGGTCCCTTTTCAGAGATCGAGAACATTATTCTGTGATTTCACGAGTATAGATTATCAAATGTATTAGGTATATATACAAATACTGACTTGTCATTCAATATATAGTTGTGTTGCTGCTGTGTTTTCTTCTGTCCTTCCTCATGTTTACAACAACGCCTATGTTGTCCAAGTCATCAGATGCTTATGTTTTTACCAATTTTCAGGAATGTCCGGTTCTGCTTAACCGAACCGAAATAGCCATCACTAATCACCAACTAGCTGCAGAATCCGGGGAAGATAGATATCAAAGAAGAAGCTGAATGAATCTGTCTCAGCAGATATCAGATCGTTTAGTCTTTGTTCATGCATTCGAGTAAAAAAGAGAAACCGGGAAGCATTGAATTCTCGGGTGAATCAAGAATATGTTCGTTTTTTTATTTCATCTTTTGATATGATATCATTGTAGATCTTCTTCACAAATATCTGAACAATAATACGTCAGATACCAACACCCAGTTGTTGAATTGAAATTGAATACCATGTTATCAGCATCTTCTGGTTCCAGAAGATCTGAACAGTTATTAATAATGGTTTAACATCCTTAACCAATCAAATACAAAATCGGTAATTTCTCTGTAATTTCCAGCCGGAACACCGTTTCTGACATCTCCTGGTGAAATTCCAATGATCTCCAAGGCCTTTTCTTGGACCTCTCTCTTATAAATACTCAAACTTCCTCCACCAATTCTGTCACAGCAAGAACAAAAGTGTAGAAAACCAGATGAGAACAACCAATCAGAACATGGTATCCATAACCATGTAATAAATCGTAACTTCTCGTGCAAGAAATCAAAATGATGTAATTCACACAAAGAGGGAGAACAAATGATGTACCTCAAGCCACCCATGGACCGTGTAAGAGATATAACAGAAGCTAGAATGAAACTTACATGGCCAATCAAATCCATATCATGAGCTACAAAGATGTCTGGAGTTTTATTAATATAAGATCGCCCTGTTTTGCTCGATATTGTCTCAAAAAATCTGCTTTATCTGCTAATGGTTGAATTCCCTCAACCTCACCCAGATGACAAGCTTAGATCGGATAAGAGCTGAACGCAAAGAATCAAACGAAAAAGTAGAAGAGAAACAAGTAATAATCATCATTTTACCATCATCCAAGACTTCAATGAATCTGCTTTTCATTTCATTGTTTTGACCAACTCATTTGGCCTAGCGGCCTGCGGCCCTAGCCTAGATCGAACAGTACCAAGTACTCAAACCTCTAGTCATTCACCATGGCATTTTCAACCAAAAAAGAAGCATACATTCCCCACACATACAACTCGGAAGTACATTAGTTAATTCCAACCAAAGAAACTACTACAATGAGCACCTGGTTTATTCCGAATTGAAGCTGACATATAACCAATAAAGCTGAGTAAATGTCTAAATTTCGGATTGCTACATGTATAGTTTCCCCCTGCTGGCGATTCCAAAAACTATGAAACATGAACTAGCAGCACTATTCCAATGTCCCTGCCAGAGAAAGATTCAGACTTTTTCTTCTATCACATTGCTCTCAGGTTCAGTCTCTCTCTCTCTCTCTCTATATATATATATATAGCGGCGGCTAATCCCTCCCTATATGTCAATCTTATCAAATTGTGTGTGTGTGTGTGCTCGCGCGCGCGCGCGCATTGTATTGTAGCATTAAGACAGCCATTTTGCAGATATTAAGTAGGAACGAAAGCGGTTAAGAACTGAAATTGAATTTAGTGTTTAATGTTTCACTTAGAAATCAACTATCTGAACCAAAGTTGTTATATTTAATTCAATTAACCATATAATCTCATATGATTAAAAGCATTAAACCCATTTTATAAGACCTAAATAACTTTATTTTTAAAAAATCCAAACATAAACATGGAAAGCTATCCAAAACACAAATCTGAACCACCCAACGCATTTATTATAGACCTTGATCTAATAGTTAGAAGAGTGAATTGTTGTCAGAATTTATATCTATGTATAATCATCAATTAATGGAAGGTTTGTCGCATTACATTTTAAAAACAAAATCCATAAAGTTTTGTGACCAGTTGTTAATACAAACCACAAAATGATCAGGAGATGCAAATAATATTTTTAATATAAATACGAAGAAAAAATTCAAGTCTTTCCTAGTTTTTTTATCAGACGTGTTTATTAATAATAATAATAATCATAATATATCTGATGATTATAATATAATTAAATTTCTTTCATAATATATATATATATATATATATATATATATGAGTTATGGTACAATTTGAATTGAAAAAAGAGAAATGGAAAATTTTAATCTTTTACATAAAAAAGTTAACAAGGGAATTTAAAAAAATGTAAAAATTCAGTATAAACAAGAAGGAGAAATGGAAAATGAAATCCGGGAGAGATCGTTCATTAAAAGATCCCAACGTCTATAACATATATATATATATATATATATATATATATATATATCACTCACTCGCTCACTCCACCCGTAGAGGCAAATTCAAAACAACAAGACGATGCCTTCTTCTTCTTCTTCCTCCTCCAAGAAACCCTCTTCTTCCTCCAAGAAACCCTCCGACGAAAATTCGGCATTCTCGAGAAGACGATCTACTCTGATTAAGAAAGCCCAAGAGCTCTCCACTCTCTGCGGGGTCGACGTCTGCGTCATCTGTTATGGCCCCGACGGATCTCTTCAGACATTTCCCAAAGACGCCGACATGGCCAAGGGCATTGCCTCCATGTACAGATCACTCGACCAGAAGGATCGACGCAAGAAAAGCCTGAATCTTTCCTTCTTTATGGACAAGATTAAGAACAATCACGGCAAGAACTGTCGCGATTCCTCGGATTTGGCCACGAGGGTTGATGGGCTTTCTTCTGATCAGTTGTCGGAGCTCCACGGTTCCTTGGACAGAAAGTTACGGTCTTTGAAACAGAGACTTACGGCTCCTGAATCTGAAAAACAAAAGGCTGCCGCTGAGAAGATTATCGATAATCACCAGATCACTACTTCTTGCGAACCGATTCTTGGACAAACCCATTCCGTAGACCCTAACTTTTCGGATTCTGGTATGGAGGAACAGAGCTTAGCAGCGATGTTGGGTGGGAATGCGTTTTCAGACAGCAATTCTCTGCAACACTTGTACTTCAATTCAGATTTTAACCCCGACATAGTTCCCCCACAGATGATGATGACGCATCAAAATCTCATGGGCAATGGCTGGCCTGGCAGTTTAGGGTTTCCAGGATTGAATATGGAATGGACGAACTCTGGATACATGAACAGCAACAACCACGACATGAATGGTTGTGATTCCATGGATTTGGCGACTGGGACTGATGGGTTTTCTTCTGATCATTTTTCGGAGCTGGACGGTTTCATAGACAGAGAGTTGCAGTGTTTGAAACAGAGAATTAGGGCTCTTGAATCGAGAAAACAAAAGGCTGCGGCTAAGAAGATTGATGATAATACCCAAGTCACTAGTTCTTGGCAACCCATTCTTGGACAAACCCACTTGCTAAACCCTAACTTGTCGGATTCTGGTATGGAGGAACAGAGTGTGGGAGCGATGTTTTCAGACAACAATTCTCTGCAATACAACTACTGCAACCCAGATTTCAACCGAGATATGGTTCCGTCACCGATGATGATGACGATGCAGCAAAATCTCACGGGCAATGGCTGGCCTTGCAATCTAGGGGTTCCAGAAATGAATACGGAACGGATGAACTCTGGCTTTCTTGTGCCGCAAGGATACATGAATGGCAGCGTGTACGGAAACAACAATCTGATGTTCAACAACGATTTCAATCAACAGCCTCAGTTTCCGACACAAACTCCACCTCCGATTCCGCAGTTTGGTCCCTTTTCAGAGATCGAGAACATTATTCTGTGATTTCACGAGTATAGATTATCAAATGTATTAGGTATATATACAAATACTGACTTGTCATTCAATATATAGTTGTGTTGCTGCTGTGTTTTCTTCTGTCCTTCCTCATGTTTACAACAACGCCTATGTTGTCCAAGTCATCAGATGCTTATGTTTTTACCAATTTTCAGGAATGTCCGGTTCTGCTTAACCGAACCGAAATAGCCATCACTAATCACCAACTAGCTGCAGAATCCGGGGAAGATAGATATCAAAGAAGAAGCTGAATGAATCTGTCTCAGCAGATATCAGATCGTTTAGTCTTTGTTCATGCATTCGAGTAAAAAAGAGAAACCGGGAAGCATTGAATTCTCGGGTGAATCAAGAATATGTTCGTTTTTTTATTTCATCTTTTGATATGATATCATTGTAGATCTTCTTCACAAATATCTGAACAATAATACGTCAGATACCAACACCCAGTTGTTGAATTGAAATTGAATACCATGTTATCAGCATCTTCTGGTTCCAGAAGATCTGAACAGTTATTAATAATGGTTTAACATCCTTAACCAATCAAATACAAAATCGGTAATTTCTCTGTAATTTCCAGCCGGAACACCGTTTCTGACATCTCCTGGTGAAATTCCAATGATCTCCAAGGCCTTTTCTTGGACCTCTCTCTTATAAATACTCAAACTTCCTCCACCAATTCTGTCACAGCAAGAACAAAAGTGTAGAAAACCAGATGAGAACAACCAATCAGAACATGGTATCCATAACCATGTAATAAATCGTAACTTCTCGTGCAAGAAATCAAAATGATGTAATTCACACAAAGAGGGAGAACAAATGATGTACCTCAAGCCACCCATGGACCGTGTAAGAGATATAACAGAAGCTAGAATGAAACTTACATGGCCAATCAAATCCATATCATGAGCTACAAAGATGTCTGGAGTTTTATTAATATAAGATCGCCCTGTTTTGCTCGATATTGTCTCAAAAAATCTGCTTTATCTGCTAATGGTTGAATTCCCTCAACCTCACCCAGATGACAAGCTTAGATCGGATAAGAGCTGAACGCAAAGAATCAAACGAAAAAGTAGAAGAGAAACAAGTAATAATCATCATTTTACCATCATCCAAGACTTCAATGAATCTGCTTTTCATTTCATTGTTTTGACCAACTCATTTGGCCTAGCGGCCTGCGGCCCTAGCCTAGATCGAACAGTACCAAGTACTCAAGCCTCTAGTCATTCACCATGGCATTTTCAACCAAAAAAGAAGCATACATTCCCCACACATACAACTCGGAAGTACATTAGTTAATTCCAACCAAAGAAACTACTACAATGAGCACCTGGTTTATTCCGAATTGAAGCTGACATATAACCAATAAAGCTGAGTAAATGTCTAAATTTCGGATTGCTACATGTATAGTTTCCCCCTGCTGGCGATTCCAAAAACTATGAAACATGAACTAGCAGCACTATTCCAATGTCCCTGCCAGAGAAAGATTCAGACTTTTTCTTCTATCACATTGCTCTCAGGTTCAGTAATTAGTATTTACCAGTCTAGTACCATTGAGCAAAAGCTCCTAAAAAAAGCTTCCAAGTGCCATCCAATACAAGAAATGAAGAAAAGCATAAGGAATCAAGGAAACTACCAAGCCATTGTTACTCTACGATTTCATTTTGACACTTAAAGGCCGAAACAGATCCAAAGTGTGTTCGAACTTGACAATTCTCTGTCTTCAAATACGTCTCAGAAACCACAAAGCTAAAGCTCTTCAACAAGAAAGAGAACTTTCCATGGAACCCAAATAGTGAAACATTAGGCACATTCGAAAACCTGGATAATCCCTGCATGGTCTCTGAGACTGACAAGCGTAAGGCCACCATGCACGCGGTGAAGAGCGACCGAATCTCAAAGGCAGAACCCTTTTACCAACATCCTCCACTGACGATTCGCCTGAAATTCCAGTTCGCAAGCCCACCGGAGACGCGACGCCGGCGGATACGGCGGATACAGAGGCGAATTTACGACGGTGTCGCCTGAGGAAGCAGAAGCAGACGCAGAGGAGGAAGAGGGGAAGGTTCTTCTTCGCGGAATAGGGTTTCTCGATTTGGGTACGAAGAAAAATAAGGCAAAGACGGGCTGAATAGAGGGAGGGAGGGACGACAGGTAAAGCGGCGTGACAACCGACGGCTTTGTTCTATTGATTTTTTTTCCCACCAAAACGACGCCGTACCCTATCGGCTACCAAACTGTATAAGATGGGAGTAAATCGCATAAGACACGTGGCGAGACCTGAAAGGAATATTGAAAGCGCAAAATATTTTTTTATAATTTAGAAGATTTGAGGTCGCTTTTTCTTCTTCTTCTTCATGAATCTTCCGACGGTTAATTGATTCATTCATGGCTCTCGAGCCTTCGCTTTCCTCGAATTCTTCTCCGTTCGCTGGCCTCGCATGGAGATTCACCTCCGAGCCTCGTTGCAGGATCGCATCTTCAAGGCCCCTTTCGATTTGTAAAGCTTCATGGCGAGAGGTTTTGTTGAAAACTCTCTCTCTCTTTCTCTCTTTTTCTTTTCGTTACCTATCACCGGTTTCGTTTTCCTTGCCGCTGTTGTAGCTCGCTGGTGTTCGGGTCTTCTCGGAGACTCCGTTCACGGCGGTGAAAGCCATGGCGAATAGTTCGTCGCGTAAATCTTTGCGACGGAGGTTGGAGGAGAAGAAGAAAGAGGCGGTGCAGAATTCCGCCAGATTCAAGGCTAGTGCTCAGAAGGCTGGAAGCGATAGGTAACAATGATGATGCCTAGCCTACTCTTCAAGCAATTTTCCTCAGTGTTCTTACATTGAAAATGCGGGATTGCAACTATAGAATTGATGTTAAGAGGGGAATTCTGTAGTATTTTGCGTGATAGGTTGATACGTTTGAATCAGAAGTCTATGTTTAATCACAGTGAAATGAATTCACCAAAAAAAAAAAAAACTTTTGTCAAGTTTCTCAAATATTTTGCGTAATTTAGGGTTTTTTTGGCCTATCTATAAAAAAAAAACTTTTGGAGGTTAGAGTGGTAATTGTATCTTGTCGCTACGGAAAGAAAGAAGTGGATAAGCTCATAGAGGACACAAAATCCTGCGAGGAGAATCAATTATCGTATTATCCTAATGGCCACGCTTCACACCTCCGCGCATGTAAGCACCGGTCAGTTCGCCATAACAAATCACACCGGAAAAGGCAGCGAGACCAACGGGAAGCTAAACAGCGCCGGATGCGCATTGTCACCTCCGCCATGGAAGCAGAGCAGGAGAGTGGTCTCAATCTCCTTCTTCCTCTCAAACCTCCTTCTCCCTAACGGTATGCATCTTCGTATGACTCTTTCGGAACTTTCGCCAATATTATTTAATGGGTAAACACGCAAAAAGTGCAAGAAGGTATGAAATGCCAAGAAAGGAATCTATGTTTACAGAAATATAAAACACGGGGTTTCCAAGTGTCTTTTTTAGTAACAAGTGGGTTCTTTGTTGTGTATATGTATGTATAATCGACTTATGAAGTCATCAAAGTTTGTATCTTTTCAAGAAATGTTTGTGTAATTGATCCAAGTTTCTGTTTTGAATCTTGCTATCAGATGCCATGGCGGCTAGCATCTTCGATAAATATGTTAAGAGGTACCTTCACACTCAACACACGCATGAGCCGATGCTTAAATCCTGTAAAGTTGCTATTCTTAGGGCACCAACATTATTGGCATGCTTTCACAATGCACATAAGTAGGTCATACAGATCGTAGATTGTAAAGGAAAGGATCATATGTATAATTTGATTTGATGTTTTGACGATAGCCGCATCAGTAGGCTTCAGTCTAATTGAAGCATGATCATCTCCATGCATAGCCTTTTTTCGGGTGGAACTCTTTCTTCTACCTTTGAAGCTCGATGCTTGCTAAATTCTTGGTATCTCTTTTTTCGGTTGAAATTCGTCTAGTTTCTGAGTTATGCAACTCTTTACCACATTCCCTATGACCAGGAAAAAACTCGACCCACTCGATGTCTATGTACCGCCGGTTATTCTAGCTCAACTTCAGATCCGAGACTTAGGTAAACTAAACAACCCTTCTTTCGCATCAGCGGGACATTTTCTTCTGCTTTTGATGTTTTATTTTCTCGACACGGCAGAGAGGAATCTAGAAGAGGAAAAACCCGGGTACGAGACTTGCAGATCCTTGCTGCGATCGGGTCCTGCATCCTCGCTCCGTGTAAACATCCGAGCGGTATGTTTGTTCTTGCAGCTTTTTCGGAATGGACAGGTAGACAACCAACGTTGTCTTTTTTGCTTTCAGGTTGCGCAATATGCCTCTGACGCTGGCAATGGTAACGCTGCTTTTGAAGACGTCGAACGATGCCTCAGGTGCCACAACATCTAACAGCTTTTCTTGTTCGTCCTGCTAATTTCAGTTACTCCACTCCCTCTAGATGGGTAACCATTTTGATTCCGTGATCCAAAACAAAAATCGAATAACACGTCCAAATCAAATCTGTATAAAATTAACTTTATGTATTTTTTCTAAAACCGAAAAAATCGAATCCAAACTTGAATCTAACTTCAATTATTCCAATACTTGTAAATGGAGGTGACTGTTTTAATAAAAAAATGGATATAGTTTTTCTAAAATCGAAATAGTTGAATCTGAATATAACCGAATCGAACCAAGTCAAACTGAAACCCGAATCCCGAATGGATCACCCTTACTTGTGATCTGATTTCATCTAAACAAACATAGTGAACCATTCACTAGCTATGTGGCTAATGTTTTTTTCTTTTTCCGGGCAAAGATCCTTGGAAGAGCTAGATTCTTTGCTCCTGCGTGCAGTGAGGAAAGACCAAGGCGCATCCATTGAAACCATGAAGGCAAATCTTGGAACAGCTTTAACTGCTTTGGACAGGTAACTACTAACAGACCACAAACACATTCATGTTTTTGTGTTGTATGGGTTCATCATCTTCAGCGGTTTTTGCAGCCTCCTACAAACAGTCCCTTCCGAAATCCTCGACCGAGGCAAAGCCATGGTCGATGTCTACCGGTCATCGTCTTCCCAAACCGATGATGTATCGGAAGACTCTCCCGAGATACAGCAGCTACAGTCTATACTGTGAACAACGGCAATGCATTCGATCTCTTAGACGTTGTATCACCTCGAAACAAGATTCAAATGTATAATCTCAAACTTGCGAGGAGTGATAGATATTTAAAAGATTTACCATATTTTAATAATTGAAAATGTTATCGTTCATGTACTTTATTTTTATCTATTAGTTTTAGAGTTTTCTTTTTGGTTTATATTTTAAAGATTGTATAGGTTTTGTAATAACCAAAAATTTAATATATATATTTTTTCTGATTTTTTATTTTTTTCGAATTGCAATTTTAGAATTTATCAAACGTTATTAATGACAATAACTTTATTTTATGGGGAATAAAAAGTTTTATTTTTTTTATAAAAACGAAGTTTCATATGGCAAAAAGAAAACTAGAACAAAACAGGAGAAAAAGTTGAATGAAAAAAGCATATAAAAAATTAAGTTATGGAAAGAAAATGCATTAAAGTCATTGAGAGGGAACCGAAAGAAAAGCTCAGTTTTTTCAGCGTCAGCAAAAGCACAGTAGCATTTCGTTGAGCAATCTAAAACGACCAAAGTACCCTCGTAAAAACCGGAGCATTCCTCGTATATGTCAGGGGTATTATAGTCTTTTCAGTAGCATCAGCTTTTAAGTTTTCGCAGCGTCACCGGGTATGACTACGAAGCCCACCGCCTTCGTGTCGTGTGTGTTTATCAAATCTCTCTCTCTTCCCTCTCTATATCTCTCTGTATCGGTTTAATCTCTTCGTGAACGTTGGTCGATCTGTCAAAATCTGTTCTATCAGGGTTTTCGGAGCCTGCCCATCTGATTTCTCCTGCCGTTCTGTTCCTTTTCTTTGTTATTTTCCCACCGAAGAACAGATTTCCCTTGTCTGGCAGTGTTTCCGCGTCGGTTTGATTGCTTTGCCCGGGCTAGGGCATCTCTGTTTTGCCGTAATCTTTCGACATCTCTAGTTTTGAATAGCTTTCACCGGCTTTGATTCTGGGTAGTTTCTATATTTGTCGGACGTGGTGGTCTCTTCTTCGCATCCTGCCTAGGATATCGTTCCTGATTATTTTGCAGGCAATGGAGGATATGGCTTGTCTTTGAGCTAGGGTTAGGGTTTCTGCTTTGTGGGTTGTTTTCTTTTTGGGCTTCAATGACGGTGGAGTATAAATGCTGCGAGACTGGGTTCTTCGTACACATAGTGGTGATAGTGTTGCTTGTTGTGTTCGCTGGTCTGATGTCTGGTCTGACACTGGGTCTTATGTCCATGAGCCTTGTTGATCTTGAGGTTCTTGCCAAATCTGGAACACTCAGAGATCGAAAACATGCTGGTAAACTGTGGAATTTTGTTTATTTTTCCCCTTTTTGTTCCCCATCTTTTATGTTCCGTTTTGCTGCTGAGCTTGATTCTTTTCCCGCTGCAATATGGATTTGCACGTGCCTTTTTCTTATAATATTCTTTTTTGGATGAATTAGATTCTTCACCCACCTAACAATTTGATTCGTTTACACGAGTTTCTGTTTAGAATGCAAGAGATTCTGCCTCATGTATTGGTAGATTCCTCTGGACTTGGCATCTGATCAAAACAACAAGTTGATGTCTACTATGTTTCCTGAATGCCCTGTTTGTCATGTTTGGGTTAGCTATTAGAACATTGATCGGCCATCTTGGTTAACTTCGAAACGTTAGGTTGGTTTGTGGCAATTTTATTCACAGCTTAGCAGCTAGTGTTAAAAAGTTTGTGTTTTATTGCTTGAATTTAACTTGGTAAATAAATTTGGGATGAAACCCGTTTTATGCTCTTCTAAAATCAAATCTCCGAGTCCGTTGTTAGATTAATTCTGGGAAAGGAAGAACTTACAGTAATCTATGCCTTTTGTGAATAAATGAGTGATGATGGTGTTCTTCTTATGTTTGATATTGTTTTAGCTGGAATATGGAGAATTATGTAGGAAGTCTTAATGCCACTGTTAGATTTCAGTGTGTAATTCTATAACGATGATTTGGATTTCTTTATGTTGCGGCCTGGAGGTTGCTGCTTGCATGATACATTAGAACGAAAAGTATTTGCAGAAATCTCTTTGTGTTTCTTCTCTCTTTTAACGATTGGATGAGTGTTCGATCATTTCAGCCAAGATATTGCCAGTCGTAAAAAATCAGCATCTGTTGCTTTGCACTTTACTTATATGCAATGCAGCTGCTATGGAGGTAATGTCGGTACTTGGGAATTGCATTTTTTTCATAAGCTTCAGAAATAGTGCTCATTATCATTACTGTAATGGATTTTCGTTTCAGGCTCTTCCTATTTTTCTTGACAGTCTTGTGACGGCTTGGGGTGCCATTTTGATTTCTGTGACATTAATTCTTCTGTTTGGTGAGGTAAGATTTCTCTTTTAATTTCTCTTTCAATGATGCCTTTCCTTACAATAAATCTATTGAGGTGATATTAGCTAAAAGGAAAACATTATGGGATGCATATGTTTCAGGAAAACTATGTTAAACTGTTGACTTAATGTACCTGCAGATCATACCTCAGTCAGTTTGTTCCCGTTATGGTTTGGCGATCGGTGCAACAGTGACACCATTTGTCCGTGTTCTTGTCTGGATTTGCTTTCCAGTTGCATGGCCAATTAGCAAGGTTGATAAGATGTCTCTTATCTTATTTCAATTTCTTCTATTCCTTGCACTTGAAAGGGACATAGGAATTGTGCCAGCCAAAGGTTTCTTCCTTCTGATAAACATTTGTGTTGTGTTTGACATTTTCCAGCTGCTGGACTTTCTACTGGGTCATGGTCGTGTAGCCCTTTTCCGAAGAGCCGAGTTGAAAACGCTTGTGGATTTGCACGGGAATGAAGTATGTATTGTATTTGCATTTCTCAGTTATCTCAAAAATCCGTGGTTTATCCAATTAAATGTCTTCCTGTGTTCTTTTTTTTTTTTGTAAGGAGTGAATTTGAGATTCTTTTCTGCTCACTGCTATCTCATATAAAATGCAAATACAGCATACCCATTTTCATTCTATTAAGGCCTGTAAATTTGCTGACGTTTTAGTGATCTGGTCTTCAAAATGCTGAGTCGAGCACTTAGTAACCCATTACTCCGTCTTTTTTCAGGCTGGAAAGGGTGGAGAATTGACACATGATGAGACGACAATCATTGCTGGAGCTCTTGAGCTATCCGAGAAGATGGCCAAGGATGCAATGACACCGATATCTGATACCTTTGTGGTTGATATCAATTCCAAACTCAACAGGTCCTGGTTTTGGTGATTCTTTGGAATACCAATATGTGAAAATTGCAACTGTGTGGATTAATTTCTTCGCATATTATCATGCCCTCAAACTTACTGTTTCTTTGGTTTCTTTGCCATCTCTGTAGGGATTTGATGAACCTAATTCTTGAGAAAGGGCATAGCAGAGTTCCAGTTTACTATGAGCAGACAACTAACATAATTGGACTCGTTCTGGTAGATTCCCTCTATCCAGCTCTGATTTTCTTGTATTTTTTATAATTAGACAGTGCCTCTCTATTCTCAGTTGCATTTTGCCCTTCCGAGCGAGCAGTAGTTAAAAATCTTGGTTACCAAGCTTTCTTTCTGTACCGATCACTTCGATTTCTGTTTCCCTCCGCCCTCCGCCAATCCCGCTTGACAAATTTGCTTATTTACTATCTCAGTGTCCCTCATTCGGGTTTTTCTTTCTTTCTAACTATTCTTATCTTATCTTCAGGTCAAGAATTTATTGACTATCAACCCAGATGAAGAAATACCTGTCAAGAACGTTACCATACGAAGGATTCCAAGGTATCTTCACCAATTCAGATGTGATTTCTGAATCTAGACCAGACCATCGTCCATATTGATTTTTTTTTCTCCCTTCATAACTAATGTCTTGTTCTTTGTTATGTTACAGAGTTCCAGAAATTCTGCCATTATATGACATACTGAACGAGTTTCAGAAAGGACACAGCCACATGGCTGTTGTTGTGAGACAGTGCGACAAACTCCACCCGGTACCTAGTAATGACTCTGTTGCTGGTAAGTTGACATTGTTGGATGAAATCTTTGCAACAAATTCGTGATGAAAAAGCGTCTCGAATCATTTCTATACCCTCTCCATGGTGTAGAGCATGTAAAGGAAGTCCGGGTTGATGTGGATAGTGATAAAACCCCTCAGGAGAGGATGTTAAAAACGAAGAGATCTCTTCAGAAATGCAAGAGCTTGCCCAACCGGGCGAATTCTTTCAAAGGAGGATCCAGGAGCAAGAAGTGGTCAAAGGATAACGACTCTGACATTCTGAATCTGAACAGTAATCCGCTGCCAAAACTGGCGGAAGAGGAAGAAGCTGTAGGCATCATTACAATGGAGGATGTCATTGAGGAGCTTCTGCAGGTAATTAATGATGAAAGGCCAGCCAATATGCTTCTTTCTTCCCACTCTTTCTTTGGTCAATTCATTGGACATTTCACATTCCAAACTTCTTGGTGTTGTGTCTGCAGGAGGAGATCTTCGATGAGACAGATCATCATTTCGAAGACTCATGACAGTGAAGAATGAACCCTTCAGACACAAATCTTAATAGCTTAGAAAGGAACGAAGAAAAGAAAGGATAAAGAGAAGAGATAAATGAGGAAACTTGACAAGTTTTTGCTGTAAAGGGCAATGTCTCCCTTTGTCTTTATGTTTCTACATCTCCTGTAAATGTATCAAACTATGGTTTCAATGTTCAAAAGAATGCAAGAGTCTGTTTGTATCCGAAATTTCTCATCTTTATCTCTAACAATATAATTTTGCTAGATCCTTGGTTATATTATTAAAACTCATATATATGGAAGTTATTGCACTTCTGTTTGGAATTTAAACTTCAATTATTGCAGAAAAACTCATATATATGGTAGTTATTGCACTTCTATTTGGAATTTAAACTTCAATTATTGCAGAATATTTATTTAGATAGAGATTTGTTGATTTTATGAATAATTATAATTTTTAAACGAATTATTAAAAGATTTTTTTATCCAAATGATATTAAAAAGATGTCAAAATAAAAAGTTGAAAACAAGTTTCTATTGGGTCAAAGGATATATTTGTCATTTATGCGCAATTACAAACTAATGAAATGCATTCGAATCATCCATCGGACCCGGTTCCGAAGGAATCCGACCGTTATTTGGAACTTTGGCATAATGACTAAAATAACCCTGAAAAGAGATGGTTATTACTAAAATGCGGATCCTTTCTTCTAACGGCTATTTTCCTGCAAACCTGTAATAATCTGGAGTAACACATACAACACTCTCTCTCTCTCTCTCTCTCTCTCTCTCTCTCTCTCTCTCTCTCTCTCTCTCTCTCCGATGGAAGAAATCAGGGATGCAGTAATGGAGGAGACGAAGAGCGAATCTCAGATCGGCGGCAAATTTTACGAGACTATCGAGGCCCCGAAGTTCATAGACCTCACAGCACCTGATCACCGACCGATAGGCGATGACCGTTACTGGTTCTGCGCAAGAGTTGGTCCGAATCTGATTCATCCTCTTACAGTTTCTGCTTTTGTTTTCTGGTCGTGATTCCTCTATCCGTAATGTTTTCTTGTGATGAAACTAAAGAAGGTTCGGTTATGGAATTTACCGACAATTGAGATGTGTTATCATAGCCATCGTAAATGGAGAATCAGAGGTGGTTCTTGTAAAAATCTGATCTTTACATGTATAATTGACGAGTTCTCTGTTTCTTGTTTAGGATGCGGTCAGAATCATGAGGAAGAAATGGACTCTGAAGCAATTTACAAAGATTTCGTTCTTCGGGTCAGTTTAACTGATAGAAAAACTCCTTAGAAGTTTCTTTTTCTTGTCTTTGATTTGGTATCTGTAATGCTTCATCGAACTCAGAATATGGTGCTTGATGAATCATAATAGGTCATGGCAGCGAGAAGCCCTAGTGTTCATCTTCGAAGTAGAAAAGATTCGAGGTGTCGTAAGTAAGTCATCCGAATGTGAACAATGCCTTTGTTTTAGCCTAAGAGATCATTATGTTTTACTTACATACTGTTGTGTGTCTGCTTTTTCTTTAGGTCACATCCTAAATGCCCGAGCACCGTCCCTCCGAAGGCTTCGAGATCTCGGATTTCTAAGTTGGCTATAGTTTCATTGATTCCTCAGAAAGCTATGGATAGGACAAGACCGAAAACAGGACAGATTAGGTCTGCTGCACACAAGCATTCTTCAACTCCAAAGGCAAAGGGATCAGTTGAAGCTTTTACTACTCCTGGAAAGCAAAATAAGCGTGTGCCGAATCCAGGAAGCTTCCGTAGTGTACAAAATCCGAGAAATCCAATGGTGCGGGTGTCGAGAAACAGAATTCTTGCAAAGGCTTTGGTGTTTCACTCGCCGAAAAGGATGGTGAAACTGAAGAGATCTGCTGATTTTGCATCCTCTATGAAGAAAATGTGTGACGGGGTGAAGAAGCTAGAGATTGAAAAGAAAGGGAAAGATTTGGATTTGAATCATAAGCCCGTGCCTTCGGATAAATCTGGAAAGCCATTGAAAGGGCGAGAGGTTAAGAGCCGAGTGTTTGATTCCTTGCATTCTCAGAAACGGAACAGTGGCAAAACCAAGTGTCCTGCCACTTTGAAGGAGAGGGTTAAGGAAAAAGAAGAGTTTTTAGACAAAAACAGAAACAGCGAATTGCGGGAAATGGAGAAACGTGACGACACTAACAGTAAAAATGGAGAAAATGATAAAGGGCTGAAGCAAGAATCGAGATTGGAGGAGGCAAAGGATCCTTCTGCAACGAAGGAGAGTGACTTGGAGAACGGAAAGCAACATGAATCTTCCAAGACTATAAACAAAGAAAAAGGTATGGAAGCTAAAGTTGGTGAAAGAGCCGATATAGAGGAAGGTATAGAAAGCGATGATAATGAAAACGCTTCGGCCTCAGACAATAACAGGTGATGAAATACCATTCTTTATGAACTTTGGCTTTTTGTCTGTTTAATCACAAATGTACTTATGGTCTGAATCTTGCAGGAAAACCGATCATGTAGTGGGCCCTTCAATCGAAAGGAAAGCTTTCGGCATAAAGGGAACCTGCAAAACCGCCCCAAAGGTAACTAAGTGTCTTTAGCCATCTCCGTAACTTCTGACTCGGCCAACGCAAGTTTCTCTGTCTTTACATACATCTAACCTCCAATGATTCATGTGGCTACAACAACAGATAAATGCTCAAATGGAAAGGCGAGTTCTTCAGGTATTCGTGCTCAAGGGGTCAAGTATATAAAACCTAAGCCCACAAATCCGAAGCCTTTTCGCTTGAGATCTGACGTATGTACAATCCCCGTAAACATTCTTTTCTACGTTACGACTTTCGTGGTTGGTTGGCTAATCGGAGGAAATGTTTTGCTATTTTAGGAAAGGCAAATTCTGAAAGAAGCCAACGCCGAGAAGAAGAAGCATCGATCTCCTGCCAAAGAAGAAACAACAACGCTTCTCGGGTCCAACACCGGAAACTTGCGGCAAAAGCACGAGACCCAGGTGAGTGATTCAAAAGAAGAGGCGATACCCTTTTGTGTGTTCTTGGTGGAAAATGTTTTGAAATGATTGAGAACTTCAATTGCAGCAAGAGAACAGAACTACCCTAGTGAAAGTTGGTAAATGATCATCATCCAAACCACTTCTAGAGGAGATCTCCGGGAGGACGAAACAGCTTGTCGGAAAACAAACTGGGGTGTCTCGAGGGTGAGAATTTACGCCTCTATAGTTGCATTCCTCGACACCATAAACGTTTTCAGAGCCTAGCTCGTTAAACTCGTGTTTTTCCTCAGGGTAACATCTTCGGTTAGAAAGAAGAGAACACCTATGAAAACGCCGACTAAAGGGCATATAGAAGGATCTAAGGAATCTTCACCGATGTTTCTAGAAGAATCTAAAGATGTTTGTGCTGTGTCGGGAGAAAAAAGAACAACAAAAACGGTGCCAAGGGGACCAAACTTCCACAGCATCCACCTCCCCAGGAGTTGCACAAAGAGATTGGCTTGAATATTTCCACTTACAGTTCAATTTGTTCATTGAATTTATGAATTTATGAATTTATGAATTTATGATTTTTTTTCTTTTGTAAAACTTTGTATTCCTATTTTTGAGAAAGTGTATATGTTTTTATCGTGTGACACTGTGATATACGATCTTTGTTTTTTACCTGATTTGCAGCGTCGCGAAGGTGAGCAAAACTATATATATGTATACATATGTATGTATGTATGTATTTGCACACGTGCATATTATATATGTGAATCAAAGTACTTTCAGAGGGTAGTTTTTTTTTTTTTATAATCCGGAAGTTCACCGTACTTTTGGTCCGACTATATCTTCCAGAAGATCGGGGAAGTCCAGGTGAATGCCCCTCCCCACGTTTCGGTTTGAATTCAGGGTGAAAGCATGCTTTGCATGTTCTCTCACCACTAAGCCACCCAAACTTGGGTAGTTGGTGATGAAACGATGAGTTCCGCCACAAAAAACGGCATACAAAACAATACAACGAGACAGGCTTGTTCAAGGAACTAAGATCACTGCATTATAATTTTCACACTAATTCATCTCATGCTTTGTTAGGTTTAGGCACAGATCCGGTGTTCGATTATAAACCCGAGCGATTTCGGGTTTGGGCGTTTCGTCGAGGTCTATCCAGTAATCATATGCGTATTTCAAACGTTCGGATATCCGCAGTTAAGAACTTAGGACTAGAGATGCAAAAACGAGTGTGGGCACACGAGACCCATCTCATTTTTATTCGGTTGGGTTGGAAAATATGAAAACAAAAAGGTCCGGCAGACCATTCCGTTACGAGCCGAGCCCAAAATCAAATAGTTCGAATCGATCCGGGCCGAGCCAGTTTGCATGACGTTAGGATGAAATGTGACGAAGAAAGAGAGATTGATCAAATCTTAAATTCACATACTTTTTTTTAATCGGAAGATTTAACGGGCCTTCGGTCTAACTACACCCCCTGAACCCGACGTCGGCCTTTACTCACGCATTTTATTGCATCCCCTCCCCACATGCGAAATTCGAACACTTGACCTTGAGCAGCCTTCGGCTCAACCAGTTTGCCACTCGACCACAAACATGTAGGTAATTTCGCATATTTGCATGGATTATTTATCCGATATTTACAAAAAAAATCAAACTCTAACTCTGATTGGATAATCTATCTCATCGCATCCGATCTCGTCCCACCATTATATAGAAACTCGATTTTTGAATACTCAACCCCACACAGATGAGATCGGATAAGGGTGTCAATTTGGATGCGAGGCCCGAAGCCCGGCCCAGTCCAAGCCCGAAAATTAGTGGGCTTCGATCTTAAGTTTGTCGACCCAAAAGAAATCGGACTTTCAGATTGGGCTCGAATCGGGCTTCGGACTCAAGTCGGACCGGCTCGAAAGCCCGATATTAAAAAAAAAGAGAAATATAAGATTTATAAAAGGATTTGTGCAGACGGACCGACCCAAGCCCAGAATATATAGGGTCGGGTTTCGGGCTAAATTACATAGACCCAAAAAAAATCGGGCCGACCCGAGTCCAAACCCGAAACTTTAGGGGCGAGTACGGGTTCGGGCCCGATCGGATCGGACCGACCCGATTGACACCTGATCGAATACTCAAATATCGGGTATTTTTGTCTAGCCTTTGATTTTATTACCAAAAGGAGTCATAGAACTGTCACCTCCGAGTGGTTTCAAATGAAGACACACAAATGTCGGTCGATTTAATAATATGATCATTTCATTTTATTTCCACTGGTTTCACAAACTTTCCTACCTATTAATTTTGACATTTATGAGCTCCTTTTCACATCATGAACAGTTGTCGTTTGATTTCACAGTCCAATGAAGCTGGTCCAAATTTCAAAAAGTCTCCTGCTTTTTTGGAGATTTTGTGTAAAGGATATCTATATCTCCGACTTTATTAATGTTCCATAGTTCTATCATTACATCAACGTTTACACACACACACATATATATATATGTATGTATGTGTATGTGTGTGTGTTCAATTCAATTCTGATACAAATGTTCTTCCCAATGGAAAACGAAGATTTCAGCTTTATGCAGCAGCAATGGCGAATGATGAACCCTACAGAGGAACGAAACGATGCTTTCACTCTACCATCTCTACCATATGTACCGCCGTCTTCTTCTTTCGGACCAAACATGGAGCAACTGTTCTTCAGCAGTCCATCTCCAGTCAAACCCAGATCCAGCTACACCAACAGGGTTACAGGTTTGAATGACGGGTTCGGTAACTTGCATCCCAAGCAAGAGAATTTGTTTAGGTTGAATCCTCAGAGAGACGTTTCGGGTTCTAAGAACGCTTCCCGTGGGATCTCGCAAGCAAAAGATCATATAATCGCTGAACGTAGACGCCGTGAGAAGCTCAGCCAGCGATTCATCGCTTTATCTACCCTCGTTCCCGGCCTCAAAAAGGTATCCAATCCAATTTCGACTTAAAAAAACCCAAACCCTAAACTTTTCAAGCAGTGTTTTCGGTCCTGTTATCATCTGTTTTATCATTTTGCATGTTGGGTTCAAGACTGACAAGGCATCAGTTCTTGGGGAGTCAATAAAGTACTTGAAACACTTGCAAGAGAAAGTGAGGTTTCTCGAGGGGCAAGCAATCCAAAAAACAATGGAATCTGTGGTGTATGTGAGCAAATCCCGGCTCTCAGCCACGGCCGGAAGCGAGGATTATGAGGCGGTGGCGGTGGAGGAGCCATTGCCGGAGATCGAAGCGAGATTCTCCGGCAGAAACGTGATGATCAGAATTCACTGTGAGAGGAGGAAAGGTGTTGTGGAGACAACATCGGCTGAGATTGAGAGAATTCAGTTGACTGTCATCAATAGCAGTGTCATGACCTTTGGATCCAATTTCCTTCATCTCATCATCATCGCTGAGGTATGTTGTTTTACTATCGAATTTTCAGACAAGGCTTATATATTATGATTCATATTAGAATTGGAATATGTTTTCTCTAGTGTTAATTCAAATGAAGAACTATTGGGAATCACGAAAAAAATTAGTTTTTTTTACATATTAATATAATTTATATTTTATTTCTATTTATTTTATTGTATTAACAATTATATTTGTTCTAAAATTAAAAAGATCTACAAACATAATTAAGTTATCTATTTGGAGTCTTCTTCTTCTTTTAATAATAATAATATATTATGTCTTTGTATATACTTCTAACAAAAAAAATACATAGTTTTTTGTACCAATATTTTTTAAATAATATATTATTAAATAACCTATATAGAACCGAACCAAATCAGTCTAAACCGGTGAGACATTCTAATATTTTACCAAAGCCATGATTTCTGTCTTCTATCTTAATGGTTTCACAGATGGGCATGGATTTCAGCATGACTGCAAAGGATGTTGCCAAGAGCATCAAATCAAGCCTGGAGTTTTTCATGAAAGCAAATATCTCCTGAAATCAAATTAAAAAAATTTTACATCTATATAATTATATTTATCAAGTAATATAATATTTACAAAAATAAAATGCCCCGAGGATTTTCCACTTCCCCAATACCATATTATAATCCTCCCGAATTTCATCATTTCAACATCTGATTTTTTTTTCGGGAGGTTTTTTTTTCTCCACTCCTATTTTTCAGACTTAAAAAAAAACTCTGTTTTTGCGTGGTTTTGTTAAAAAAAAAAAAACCATTAGTTAACGAGAAAAATACCTTTTCCCCTTTGAAAGAGATCATCGAATTTCTTTTTTTTAAAAAAAAAAAATTGGGGTTGGAAATTTGAGCTGTATAATTTTTGAAGTCTTAAATTCAAAAGGGTCACATGGGTTGAAAAATGGTCTTGTGGAGGTGTGTGTGTGTTCATGTTCAGACAGAAACAAGTCTTTGTTATGATGATTCTGCATAATGACATGTACTTTTTTAATTAAATTATATATATATATATATATATATATATTATTAGTCAATATTCATGTCATTATTGTTCTTTGACATTAATTTTTGAGGGGATAGAGATACGGGATTTATTATTAATTGGAAGATTATTACCACTTGTATAATATCTATAACATATAAGGATAATAGAATTAGAAATAAAGCTACAGAGAGAAAATAAACTTATTTTAAAAGGAAAAATAAAAAAAAACTTTCACTAAATAAAACCTAAATTTTGTTTTTTTATCAAATAAAATTTTAACTTTATTTTTTCGATAGAAAATAAATCCAAATTTTATAATGGTTGTCATTTTAAAACTCGAATATTGATATGACGCATTGATATCCTACAGAGAAAATTCATATTGAAACCATATTTGATAAGTCATCATCCACATATGTCGATATCAATACGTCAAATTAGCGATGAGTTTAAAAATAATAAATGTTATAAAATTTAGATTTTTTATAACTCAAAAATTAAGTTGAAGTTTTATTTGACGAAAAACAAAAATTATGTTTTTATAAAAATTGACAAATTCAGATATTTTTTTTTTGAGATTTTCTCAATTTTAAAATAATTCCATCGTTTATTATCGATATTTCATATTTTAATATGAAAAACAATATTTTTAAACAATCTATCTAACTGTTTGTAAACATTAAATATCATGGACGAGAAATCATTGAGGTCAAATACTAAACAAATTCAACCTTAAAACTCAACTGTTTACGAAATTTATCTCAACTGTCTTTAACAAGTTAATAGAGAGTTCTACCTACGTACCTACCCATATTATATATTACATTATATCACACGTGTACGAAGTGGAAGCTTTTGCTTCTAGAAGCCTTTGATTTCAACATCGTCACTTACGTACAAATACAAAACCTCAAGTACAAAGGTTGAACAAATTCTCAATTTATTTTGGGGAAATATGTCCAAATTTATTTAGAAAGCTTATTGAATAATAATAATAATAATAACAATAATAATAATAATAATAATGAGATTGCGATAGAGGTCATAACATAATGATCTAATCTACATATGATTGGACAAATTTGCAGGAGCAGAGATAACTTTCAATTTGATTAGAAAATTAAATTATAAATAAGTATTTTTTTAAGAAATTAGGATATATTTTGAAATAAGTAATGAAATTAGCGATATTTTTGAAGTTTAAAATGTATAGAAAAAGAAAAACCCCCTCTTTCAAAACTTTTTTTTTTTTGACGCATTTGATTCTGTAACCTTTTTTTTATGAGTTAGTACGTGAATGAGGAGGAAACTGTGTAGAAATATTTCTTCCTTTTAAAGAATGTCTTAAAAAGATAATGTTTTAAATTCATATCTATCCAATTTACGGTCCAAAATTTAATATTCCTTGGTTACCAATTATACACAGATGCATATAAACATCTTGGTCTCATCAAATTCATTTCACCATGAAATTAGGGTTCATCGTCACTTCCTTCTCTACGCCTTATTCGCTTACTCCGTGTTCCTCAAAAGGCCGAACCTTTCCCTCAACCCATAAACAATCTCAATCTCCCAGGTTTCGGATCTCTCTTCCCTTTACTTGTCATCAACATTTCCGTGGTGGGTATTTCTCAAATTTATGAACTTTGTGTCCTTTTTATGAGCAATCGTTTCCTCAACCCGATGATCTTGTTTTCCAGTTTTGGTTATCTAGGTTTATTTTTTCTCAGTGAATTACCACCCTTTCCGACATGTAGTTCACTGAATTGTCTAGATATCGATGCATGTAGCTTTAACTGCAGACATACGCCTTGTGTATGTGTATATACATATGATGTTCATCCATGTGAATTTGTTCGAAAATCACGCGACTTGTATCTATATGAGTGAAATGGTTATGTAGATAGGTTTAGATGTTGAGTAGGGTTTAGACTTTAGGTTGATTTTTCTGAATTGATATCGAGTTCAATGATCTGAATTCTGGTCCATTGGTATAGGAAAAATCGATACAGCTTTACGAGCGAGGCGAATTAGTTGTTGTAAGGGAAATCTGTGGAAGAGTGATTCGATGGAACCAGTGGAAGAAACCCGGGTGTTGAACCGAAACGTTTACACGCCGATGGAGCCATACAGCTCGGGTTTTTTGAAGGTCTCGGATATTCACACGATCTACTGGGAGCAATCAGGAAATCCCGATGGATGCGTAAGTGATTGAGAATCCCTTCTTTGTAGACCCGGATCAAGTATAATCGAACCTCTCATCACCATTGTAAAATGAATCGAATGAATGTGTTCTTATGATCTCAAAATGAAGAAGTCTAAGGATTTAGACATGTAAGTTTCGTCTTAGGAATGGAGGATCTTCAATACATCTTCTACAATTTCCTTTGGCTTTCCAGTTGTCCCCTGTAATGCTTTAGACAATCACGGATTGACGATGATGTTCTCTTACAATAGGAGTTGGAGTCTTGGACTAGGAGCAAGAACTGATATTCGTTTTTCTCAGCTTTCTAGAACACTTGTTTGCCGATTTGATTTCTTATCATACATGTTGCAGCCTGTCATCTTTCTTCATGGAGGACCTGGAGCAGGGACGGCACCTGACAACCGAAAATTCTTCGATCCTGAATTTTATCGGATTATCCTATTTGACCAGGTATTCCTCTCGATAGATATACGATGAATTACAAAGAATTATAGCGTCTAAAGAGGGGTAATATCCTATGTTTTTCTCCTCCAGAGAGGTGCAGGAAAGAGTACTCCACATGCTTGCTTGGAAGAAAACACCACGTGGGACCTTGTGAATGATGTCGAGAAGCTAAGAGAGCACTTGAAAATTCCGGAATGGCAGGTAATATTCAGAATTACGCATCTTTGGCCATTGAGATGATAAATTTTGTTCAGAAAGTTGAATGTTTTTATCTGATGGGACAGGTTTTTGGTGGGTCATGGGGAAGCACTCTAGCTCTTGCATACAGCCAGTCTCACCCTGATAAGGTGCAAATTATTTTGTGCGGGTTACTGTTCTATTAATCTGAATGAAATTCTTGCCCTGTTTAATGAGTTTAGTAGAAAGAGCCAAAAGGTTGTTTCGATCTGTAGATTTTTTCTGATGGGTTTGTTGATTTTTGGTGTAAGGTTACTGGCTTGGTACTCAGAGGGATATTTTTGTTGCGGAAAAAAGAGATTGATTGGTTTTATGAGGGCGGTGCTTCTGCCATATACCCCGATGGTAAGTGTCCTTCTTGTAGTTCTTTTGATTGCAACGATCTCGTAATTCTGTTGACTTTTATTGTCAATTAAGTAAAGTACCAAAGGAGAGCTTCATCCTAAAGAATTCTATTTCTTGTATAAAATCTAATGTTTGGCTCGGGTAGAGCTCTGGATGCATTTCATCTTCTCTAGTGTTAATTCTTTACTTCACATTATACACAGCCTGGGAGTCTTTCAGAGATCTCATTCCAGAAAATGAGAGGTGTAGCTTTGTGAATGCTTATCACAAGAGACTAAACTCTGATGATATGGAAACACAAGTAAGATCCGATGATTATTTGATTATAGACGTTTTACTATCATAACTTTCTGTTCATATGGCTCTGGAAATAATTGCATTCTGCTCTGTTAGTACGCGGCTGCAAGAGCGTGGACTAAGTGGGAGACGATGACTGCTCATCTTCATCCTAATGAAGAAAATATCAAAAAGGCAGACGACGATAAATTCTCATTGGTGAGCCCTAGATATGTTCCATTCATACTTGGATTAATATTTTGTTTTTGTTTTAAGGCTAATGGATCAGAAATACTCTGATAGAACCTAGGGTTCTATCGAAGAGTATTCCCACGTTTATGGAGTCCGGGTTACACCCTAGGTCTCGGCCCATTGTTTCAGAACTCCCGACCCGAAAATAAAGTAACAAACATCCCAAATCCACTAAACTGAAATAACAAAATCGAAACTTTCAGCCCTAACTTGGACCATCGCGATGGTTCTCGGACCAGATTAGGTTCCCGACCATTGGGAATCTATCATACCCTTCTGCAAATTTCTGGGAAATCTGGTAACTGATTTTTTTTATAACACGGATTTGTTTTCTGTAGGCATTTGCAAGGATTGAAAACCATTACTTTGTTAACAAAGGGTTCTTGCCTTGGGATTCATACTTGCTGGACAATGTTGATAAAATAAGGCATATAAAAGCCACTATCGTTCAGGTATATTCTTTCTTCTCAAGCACATGTGAATTATTGACTCTTCCTAATTTCATAAGAGTATGTTTCTTGTTTAGAGGTTGATCTGATGAAATCATTGTTGTGAAATATTTACCGTGCCAATCTCCCCGCAAATCATCATCATCAATTTCGAAGAGCGAATTCAAAATGGATGATTGGGGAAAAGATAAAAAGAATGGGAAGATAGACTCGAAAGGAAAGTTTCGATTTTTATGTTTAGGAAATATCAGGTGGATGATGATGATCTTGTATTTGGTCTGATGCACAGTATTGGCAAAATGTAGTTGTTTACTTTGTTTTTTCTCGTTCACATATGGAATGATTAAACGGTGATTTTATTGGATTTACGAATATAGACCCTGTAGTAATTGGACAGTGACATCATGATTTATAACTTCATTTGAAGATTGTAAAAAACATCTTTGGATGAACAGGGAAGGTATGATGTGGTCTGTCCTATGATGTCTGCTTGGGATCTCCACAAAGCATGGCCCGAGGCAGATTTTAAGGTAAACTTTCGACTTTTCTTCTTTGATTTTGTCGTAGAATAATCAGGAAAACGACGGCGTTAAAGGGTCGATGTGAATACTCACGAAAAGACCAGCATCCGACAAACAGTAGTGTGTCATTTTGTCTGTAAACTGGTGCCTCAAGGGAAAAAAACTCGATTAGCAGACATTTACAACGACTGAAGTTTTTTGTAACAGCATTTGGAATCTTGGTAAGACAAAATCTGGAACATTCTTGGACAGCTAAATTACTGACACTCAGGGGTCGTTTCCAGGTCGTTCCGGACGCAGGACACTCGGCCAACGAGCCAGGGATATCTGCGGAACTCGTGGCTGCCAACGAGGGAATAAAAAGCTTTTTGAAGAGTTCACGATGAACATGAGAGACCCGCAATCTCGTGTTGTGCGGGTACATCCTCGTATGCGAAAATGAAGTGGCTCGGCTTACGGTATAAGCTGAAATTTTTACTTTTCCATGTAGAAAATTCTGAACCTCTTTGGAACCATTCAATAAGGACAGTTGGATGTGACATTCTTCTAAAAAAACTGAAATTGGTTGATGATTTATAAAGATTATGGTTGCCTCTCACAAGAAATTAATGTTCGAGGGTGAATTCAAGGGGCAGACCATTACAAGTTACATGCCATTTTAATCTTGTCCGAAGCTCTATTATTGATATAATAGCAATTGCTAAATTCGATACAGAATCAGAAATCAAATGGAGAGTACATGACCTCATCTACATTTTTACACAGTATCCCGAGGCTGATGCTGTGAATGCAAACAGTGCGATTTCAGGTTCAAGAGATTTTATTTTGCTGCGTCCAGATGTGTGTTGTAGATCCGAGAAACAACCTCGTCGTCAGTGGTGTAGCCATTGATGAAGAAATCCGAGCAGTTTCTCCGCCATCCATGGTTATAAGGGTTGTTGAACCGCCCGTCTGGACCACGCAAGTAAGTATATCGCTTCGAGTTTGACATCTCGTTCGTTGTTATGTTCCGAGCAACCTGCATTTTCGCACAAACCCAACAGAGAAACGAAAGATTTACATCATTCTACAAACGGCTACACGGTCTTTTTACTTGAGATAAGGCCCGGAAAAAACAAAAAACAAAAAACAAAAAACGGGAGTCACCTGATACGTCTGTGAGATCATTAACATTGTAGAAGCTATGAAAATCACCAAATCGAAGAAGAGAAACAGGACAACACTGGGATGTTCGAAAGCAACATGGCGAATCCATGTTTCTCCTGGTTTTACTGATGGAATACCTGTCCAGATTCCTGTTGCAAGAACATAGGTGTTACTATCATTCAACGATGGTGAGTTGCCCAAATCAACATGAACTTGAAATACTTTCGAGTCCATTTTTTTACGACAACATACTTTGAAGGGCAATCGTTCCACTGGTAGATGATGTCAAAGCTCCCATCAACACGAAGAGTAAGAAGTCGCGTTTATTCCTCTACAAGACGGGTAACATTTACGATTAACCCTCTATGGAGAGTGGAAAAGAAATATATACGGGTAATATTTACGATTTAAAGGGCCCTTAAAATTCTTACCTTACCAACGCAATTTGAAATCCAGGGGCAGTGATGGTCAAACTGCTCAACGCAGCGCTTGCAGGTAGGACAATGTTTAGAACGGACAGGTCGAATTATCTGAAGAAAATGTGAAAAAGGGTAATTAGGACATACACAACTAATATCCGAACAAAGACTATAAATGCATATTTGAATCCCGTTTTATTTTGCACGAAAAAAGGAATGGATCCTGAGGAGAACCTTGCATGTCGGGCAAAGCTGAGACCAGTTTCCCGTCCACGAGGAGCTGTTCAAATCGATACTCATCAAAGGATCCTGCGAAACATCAGAAGATAAATTGCGTGAATCGAAACATAATAGCAAAATGAATTGTTTCATCATTAAACCCTACTATGTTTTGTTGAATTATCAGTTTTCATGTACCCTACTAAGATCAACAAGTTCAACATTATTCCCTATAAAAAAAGATACAGTAGACGGGTTCAATGCAGTTATATGTGCGGCAACAAATATTCTCGTGACACTGAAACAGAGTTTTCCACGAGTATGTTCTTTGCAAGAGTTAAACATACATTGGCATCATGATTTCTGTCGAGTTCATCGGCCCTTTTTACATACCCTGGATCCTTGCTGCACATAAGAGAGCTACTTAATCACACATCAAGATAGCCACATTAACAAAAATATATGCAGAAAAAATACATCAAAACGTTGAAGAAAGCTAACCATCTTTATAAAGGTAATGACGTAAAAGAGAAATGTAACAGGACACAGACAACTGAAATAAAACACATCTTCAGTTTCACTATGGCTAAAGCACCCGAAAAGAGTCAGTCATTATAGGAAGACAACGGAACACAATCATGTTGGAAACTTGATATAGCAATACAGTATGGCAACCACATTCGTGTCTACCACATACTTTATAATGGTAAAATGATCATCTTAAGGAAGAAGGTATGCAGGAACAAGATCTTCCAAGAATTATTAAATATTTAAACGAGTTCATTTAATAAATTGCCACTTATATGAAAACACAATACCTGCTACACCGATAAAACATTATCAGTGAACAAAAACCGAAGGAAAGACTGATCCACCCCCAAAGTCCAACCATAGCAGTCACCTTTGGGAGATTAGGAGCTACATCAATTACAAGAAAGAAGTCAGCAAGAATTAAAAACCTCACAGATACAACTGCATTAATGATTTCTTGCATGAATTGTTCACCTGCGATTACTGATATGGTGAAAAGAATCATAAGAACAACAATTATGCAAAACAAAATCGGAGCACAGCCTTTATCTCCCAAGTTTCCACGGATTATCTTGTCCACCACCCGATTACGATGAGTTCTCATTGCCTTCGACTGGAAAATTCCAAAAAGATAATTCCCAATAATCCATCACATAGAATAGGAAAGAACTGAGCACTCAATTCACGCAAACCACACTGAACGAAACAGATTGAACCAAATTTCAACCAAGCCATCTCGAGCGCTGGTAACTCTCAAATACATGATAACCCTAGAAAGCCCACAACACCCAGCTTAGAGATGTTTTTCTTTAGTGTATATCACAGAAATGGCCCAGCAGATACCCAAAGTAAAAGTTGAATTACAGCTCTGCTCTGGTAAGAAATGATAGTTTTCTCAAATTTCATCGTTTTTACAAGTTTAGAGGCTTTAACATGAAATGCTGCTAGATTATAACCATGAAGCATTATTGTACTTCTAATATTCAATACCATCACTCCTGCATTCTCGTGTTTATATGAAATCACCAAAACTATAAGTATTTTCTGCAATGCACTGACTGACTTCTTTAATCTTTTTCTTTCTTGTAAATGGATATCTAAAATAAAATAAAAGCGAGTTTTCAAATGAACTCTCTAACACAGTGAACAATGAAAACTCAAGTTTTTCTTTTACGTGTGGTAAATTGGTTTTGGTGGCAGGCAACAATTAAACGGTTACGTACAAGGAAGAGAGCAAGTTGCCTGTGACCTTTATCAGAAGCAAGCTGAAAAGGGGTGAATCCAGCACTGTCTTTCAAAAACAGTTCTTCCTTTGTTCCAGTATGAACAAGTAGGGTACAAGCCTCAATATTTTCTCTTACTACAGCCCAATGCAGAGGAGTGTAACCTGTCAGTAAGAACGATTTTTGAAAATTGCTTGATAAAGCGTCAAAATCAAGCAGCACATCAGCATTCTGAACTTTTTGCTAGTAAAGAATATTCTAGAATTCTTTATATCATTCCTTTATAACCTAAAAAAAAAGTTTAGGTGGTCACATTTCAGAAATGAAGATTAGATTTACTTTAGCACTTTTACCAAATATAAAGTGTAACCTGATTGTATCCCATGAACTTAACGGTCTTAACCTAGACAACTTTCCTGGTTACCTTTATTGTCTTGTCTATTTTGGCATGCATCTCTGAAAAGAAGTAGCCTGATTGTATCCGTGAATCCTTTGTAAGCAGCCCTGAGTCATATGAACGAAGAGAATAAAGCTTTGACTAAGAAGGTCTGCAAAAACCTTGAATTATGCAGAGGATAAACAGAGAAACAAGTGCCATCAACAGTGATTAGACCCACCAATAACGCAAAACACGTCTTAAACTCATCCCCTTCTGAGTATAGTAACAACTGGAAATGTTTTTTTGTTAATGTATTGTTAAAAGTAAGAAGTTGCAAAAAAAAAAAAACCAGATAGGGATAAAACCAGTAAAAGATTGAGTTTGTAAAACATGCATATCGCCAAAAATGGCCGCGAATTAGGAACATCTAGATGGACATTGGAATAAGTCAAGAGGAAACTAAGATCTAGCTCGTGCACCTCCAAAGTTTCAAGAAGTATTAGTATAGCAAGACACATGCGCTCATTAGTTTCTTTAGAAAGCATACCAATGAAGTGGGCTTGTCCCTTCTTTATCTAATGCATTATAGTCGGCCCCATAAGTTGCAATAATATGATTTAAGAAGCCTGTCTGTCCGTATTGAGCAGCAACATGCACAGCCTACATCAGAAAACACATCATAATGAAGGAAAAAACCAACTAAGAAAAGCCAAAACTCCATTCATGGGCTGAGAAATAACATGACAATCTCTGTTAGCAACCAGTATCGATCTATCAGTCGAGTAGAAACAGCATGAGGACAAAGAGTTGAAAGTCGGAATCGAGAGTGTTTACCCTATATCCATTCACATCAGCAGCCTCAATTCTAGCTCCGTTCTGCAAGAGAAGGTCTGCAACAGCAATGGAGCCCCTTACCGCAGCCCAATGCAACGCCGTCTGATGTATATTATCAGCTGCATTCACATCACCTCCATGCTACAAAAGATGAAACCATCAAAGCCATAATATTCCAACCAGAACACAAAAGCCCGATACTTGCAGAACTTGGCAAGAAATAATGAGAGGTTCAATCAAACGGATGCAAGAAGGGACTGAATTATGCAGTTCAACACTAATGAAAGCATATTCATACATGAACCAGGGGAAACTAATAATATACTACGAATTGGGTAGTCTCCAGTTACAATTGATCATACAGATTTCATCGACGTGGGCAAAGACCCATAGCCAAACAAGAAATTTTCGAATCCTTGGCTGCTTTCAGTTCGAATTCAGCAAGGGACTGATGTATATATGTGGGGGTACCTCGATGATGTACTGAGCTACGTCGACGAAATTGTTCAGCGAAGCCCATTGAAGGGTGTAGTAGCCATTTCCGTCGGGGAGAGAGACAGAGGCACCGCCATGTTCGACGAAGCTCCGGAGTTGCTGGAAATCGCCGTAAGCGGAGGCGGAGTATACGTCGGTGATGGCGGGTAATTCACCGGTAGGGTTTTGCTGCTGAGTCTTCGAACCCATTGTCACCACCTCGATCTCCGACGACGAACCCATCTGCTTGGTTCGATTAACGACGGAAGAAATCGACCTCGAGAGACGAAATCGTTCAGGAATTTGAGATTTTTGGGTCTAGAATGGGTTTGGAATTCTCGGGTCAGGGATTTAGTCAAGGGATGGTTTTTCCCCCTCTTTTTGCCTTTTAATTATTTTAATTTTTGCTAATTTCTCTTCCTTTAAATAATATTATAATTTGGAAAAGACTTACTGGTCCAATTAATATTATGAAAAATTACCCACATTTTATATTTGTATTTGAAATAGATTTCTTGGTCTAATTTTATAATAGAAAATAAATATTTTTCAAAGATTTTTAGATTATATAATATAAGATGATTTAACAATTATACATATCATCCGATTAAAAAAGTGTTATTATATTTTACATAACTTGGGGCATTGCACTAATTACAACAGATTTAAATTTAATTAACCCGTCAAGCACAATTCAACAGAATGAACTCAAGAACTTCCTGGAACCTCATCTCGGACCCAACCGAGTCGCCGGAGAAACAAAGACCGACCCTCGAACGAGCACCACCGTCCGGCGACCTTATCGCCGGAAAACCGTCAAAGAGACGAGCCCACGGCAGCGACTGCGCCGGCGGAGAAGGATACTGTCTTGTTGCCTGTGGAATGTGAGAGTGGGAGAGAATTAGCATTGCAGCTGTCGGAGGCATTTTGATATTTTTTTTATCAGAGAATCTGCGAAATTATTACAGAACACCGAATGAAGGCACGAACTGAAGAGCTGATGCGTTTGTATGTACATATATAATGCGTAATGTGTATCTGTGTATGTATAGATATATGTGTATACAGTTGTGGATATGCATTGTATGTGTTTTCTGTGGGAGCCGCTGAATTTTAGGGGTTCAAACATGGGGTCTGTTCCGCTATTCTGACGGTAACCAATGGTAGAAGGCCACGTGGCGAATCGTGGTTTTCGTACATGACTCGCGTCTTATCTCGTGGCGATGTTGTTCAGAGCGTGCGTTGCACGTGCTACTCCATGGCGGGGTTTTCTCTAATATATTATAGATAAACTGCTAAGAAATTAAAATTTTCCGAAAAAACAAATAAAAATAATATTTTATTACGAAACAGCTATCATCATCTTGTAATTAGTGCACGAGTTATTAATCATCTTATATATATATATATATATATATATATATATATATATATATATATATATA